ATAACATGTGGCACAGCTTGAAAACACACTGGAGAAAAATGCAGCAAAACCGGGAAAACCTACGCAGTAGCACATGGGCGAGCATACAAGGCCTTTTTACACCACCAAAACCCCTTTCGGTAGCAAGATGTAGGTTGATGTCAATGTCACTGGCTGTAGGGGTAAGTCACATTAATGCATTCATTAAGTGCATGGCTGATATTTTCAAACTTATTTGGTGATTTGTGTCCTCTGATAATTCAAACTGGCTTGGGAAGAAACAAGGATTGGTACCCTGAGTTTTGTCTCGACATTTCATCTGTGTTTGATTTCATGATGAGTAGTTGTCCGATCGGTTTTTGGGCTTTACCACGTGTTGTGTGGCAGAAAGCTGTCGGCACGTGCAGCAATAAATAGGACATGCCGAACAACACGTGGCAAAACCCTTAAACACATCTGAGAGCTAAAACCAGTGAGGTGTTATATAATTACAAATTTGTTAAAATACAGCTTACCTTTTGCAGTGGTTGAGAAAAACCTTTTTTGGCACTGTCAACACACGGAGCTTACATTACCAATGAAGATTTAAAGCATACGGGTGACGGAATACATTTTGCTCTGGTGATTTGCTTAATTTCTGTAAAATCCAGGTCTAAAGTGATATTGTATTATTTAAGTTAATATCAATATATTTATAGAATTATTCAGTGGCAAAAGTGCATCACTACGTTTTTGTTAGTGTAACAAAATTGGACTATAATATTTTCCCAAATAAGAGTTTTCCAAAGAAATGTAAAGGGATGCATATTATTTTGGACAAATTTTTATCACCATTTGTTTTTCCATTGATATGTGCCTCTTTAAAGTTGATCCGTGCCACACAATGCATCAGAATCTATTGTGTTCCTTGCCATTACAAGGTAAATGTATGCATACAATTGTGCCTGTATCCAGAATAACAAATCCTGACAATTGTAATACATTTCGTGCATATTTAAATAGTAACACCATGTGGATATAGAAGAGCCATAGTTGTATTTTTTTTAAACTTATTTTTATTGAGAGAAAAATATATACAGGTGTCGAATGACAATCGGTGGTTATTACCAGCATTCTTATTCCTGAAATGATGGATTCGTTATGAAAAGCCTCATTGCCTTAACTTGAAGTGTGAAACCTGTGGTATGGTGAAAAGGGATCTCTACAAATGTGCTTTGTTTATAAGAATGTGTAATGGTGTGCAGAGTTTAAGTATTCAGAGACTTGAAAAGAAGTTAAAATGGATGGTTTTTATTTTACATTTTTACAATTGTAAAGCTGGGGAAATAGTAGTGCCAAAGAAGGTTAGAAGTGCAAAGCGGAGTGAAAGAGTTATGATAAATGAGATGACAATTATTTTTAACTTACAGTAACTCCCATCATATAGATTCTTCAATTATTTCAATATAATTTCAGAATAAACATCACTGATTTGGTGTGATTTTTCTTTTCCCCTTATGACCAGTTGTAAAAAAAGACTTAAATGCTGCTAAGTTTTTAACTTAAAGCAGCATAAGGGCTATTGCTTCATGTTTTCATTGCAACTCGCTGCAGAACCTAATTTTCGACAGTTTAACCTTTGTAGTTCATTCAGTGATGTGTAGATTTGTACACTAATATGAAAGCGAACTTTGCAGGGTACACTTCACAGAACGTTTTCAGTTTATCATAGTCTTTATAACAACGCATAATGCATTTAAGCAATGGGATGTGTTTCCTGTAGGATGCTATGACTTTAGTTGGGTTGCTATACATTGGGTTGCTATACCTTGGTTTTTGAAAGCCTGTTTACACGATACCCACGGTTGTATGATTGAAGTTGAGTGCTGAACGTTAGGGAAAGCAATACAATGGCTGCTTCAAACAAAGTGGTGTTATTTCGATCGGTGACGAATGAACACTGAGTTTTATCGGTATCCAACCAGGAAATGAAATTAACTCATTGAGAGGAATGAAACATTGCCTTGTTTGGAAGGGTGAACTGGGTTGCATCAAGATACCAAGTGCACAATATTCAAACTAACAATATATCTAGACTCGTACAATGCAGCTTTCTAAATTGGGCTGTGTGTTGATTATTTATTTTGTCCAAGATTTCATCGGGGTTTGATATTTATAACAAGCGGCTGCAAAGGTGTAAACTACAGACTAACTTTGGCATTAATTTAGTAAAAACCTGAACAAGGCCAATACATTCTATATACAGAGGGATGCCGGTCTATGCCCAAACATGGGCCACGAAAGTTGTCACTCAAGGAGGCCCCTTCCACCAGCAGTGGCATGAGCATGTAATTGTGGGGCTTCACCTTGAACTTTTACACGGCTTTAACAACGAAGTCTCAATCGTGTACTCACAAGTGCTAGAATAACAAAGACAGTACTTATATAGCATAAGATCAGGAACATCTTTTTTGGAGAGCACATAAACACGTTTACCTTTTAATGGATATAAACAAAAGTTACTGTACAAGTGGTTTTCACAATAAAGGTGTTCATCTGCAACGATTGAGCTTGTGCATACAGCCCTGTAATTTTTGTGAAATCTAATAAATAAAAGAACATATACGTCTATTTTGTGTTTAAAAAAGCAAGAATGTTGACATTTAGAGCTGCCTTTGTGTCTTATCAAATTCAAATGGCCAATGAGAATATAGGCAGTTAATAATACACTTGCACTGTGGCTCTAAGAAAAGCTGTCTCGGGTGTGGACCAATCAACTTCAAGGACAGTGCATATCATCATTATTAGAGTTTCTTTTTGTTTGCATTTTGACTGCTTGTGTTGTGGTTATTGCAAACATGATGCCTTGTATAAAGGTGTCAGTTTTTTGTACCAGTTGAAAGGGTAAAAACCTATTACTATTATTTGCCACTGGTAAAGGAGGTCTCATAGTATACCGATCATCTCGGTTTAAATTGTCTCTGTGTTTATATATCTGGATGGCTTCATGGACAAATCTTTGATGGTAGCCCGAAGGTTTGCAGAGTATCTTGGTCTCGGAAAAAACAATATCGTGCGAGCCCACTGCGTTGACGTCGTTTCGTTTCCCTAATGTAACTGCTGCCGCAGACACAACTTAGTTTGTAGACACCAGGGTGTATTGCATGTCAGGAATGACATCCTTCACAGGTGGGATCAAATCACGGATTTTGTTTACTGTACTGAATTGGACCTGGATCTTGTGTTTGTTTAAGATTTTGGAAATCTTTTTGGGAACACCTGCTTTGTATTGCAAGGTGGTGGTTTTGATTGGATCCTCAGATGGTTGTTTCCCCATGGTTGGGGCAACAGCTTTGCGGATTGTGCGGTCTGAGTATCCATTCATCTTGAGGGCTTGGTTCACTGGCGAGGTGGCGCTGGTTGGAGAAGCAGCGGGCCATATGGTGTAGTGTTTTGATGAGGGAGTTCTTCTGGGCCGGGTGGTGGTAGGAGTCGGGCTTTAGATAGGAATCCGTGTGGGTGGCTTTCCTGTCGACGGAATAGTAGCTTGCCATCATTTTCCACTTCCATGGTGAATTTGATGGATGGGTGTATGGAATTGATGTCGTTGAAAAAATTGATGTTTTGATCGAGAAGAGACCTGATGGCTCGTTGGCACATTCCGTCGACAGGAAAGCCTGTGTCGGGTGGTGGCGGGTTTAACGACACATTTATATATTTACGCGATCCAACCCCAAAAAACCCTGCATTATAGCGGTTTTTAATAACTTCAAATGTTATCTTCATTAGGCAATTCACAATGAAAAAAAAATCACAGTTTTTTTTTGTTACTTTATTTTAAACACAACAAAACAATGAATGGAAAAGTATTTTTACGAGAAAAATAATTTCTCATCTCCAGCTGCCTGGTGGGGTCGGCCCCCCTAACTCCCCTCGTCCAGGAGGAACCGCGCCTGCTCCAATACCCACGCTGGGGCAATCATCCAGCAGTAGATGTACTCAAGGGCTGTGCAATTAGTACGAAAAGGAGTTTTTTTTGGGGGGGTTAGATGGCGTAAATATAAATGTGTCGTTAAACCCGCCACCACCGACACAGCCAATTAATAAGGGGCCGTCCATAAATGACGTCACGCGATTTTGGGCGATTTTTGACCCCCCCTCGTCACCCCCCCTAAATATGACGTCACAAAGCTCTGCCCCCACCCCCCAAAAATAAAACATACTTCAAATCGCTTTAAACTATTGTCATTGTAGTGTGTATTTAATGTGCCGCTGCACTCTGATGTTGTAGGAGAAAACATTTATTAAAAAGTCTATTTAATTAAGTAGAACGTGTTGTCTATATTTATTTAAAGTTGCGCAATTTGATGTGACGTCACATTTCTCAACCCCCCCCCCCTCCTCGTCACACATCGTCACAAATGTCTGACCACCCCTCTAGGTGCGTGACGTCATTTATGGTCGGCCCTAAGCCAATAAGTAAGGTTTATCACGTAAACAGAACGTAGCCAATTCCACAACATTTATGATTAAAAAAGTATGCCACAATTTAACGTGATGACACCACACCTATTCACTGCGAGAATCCCTTGTTCATGTTATATAGTACTTTATATAAACGTTTCCTTTTAAGGCCACGGCGTTATTGACGAATACTTTATGCCGAGTTTTTCTTTTTTTTGCCCTAATAGTATCAAGATGCTCATTTTCCAATCGCGTTTCCATCGACGGGGATTCGGTGGCCCTCAGTTTCCGCCACCGTAGTTTCGACGTCATCGACACGATTCAAAAACACGCGTGTGACGTCATGCCTCCAGTAGGTCGCGTGTTGGGAGCGGGGGGCAACAAAAAACAACGACGCGGGTGACGTCATTTGTTTATAGAAAAATCGAATGACGTCACATTCCCGCGTTTTATCGAGGGGGCTGCGTGGACGCCGTCACGGGTGCAATCGACAGTACAGGACAACTTCACGATAACACAGCGAGGCGGGCGAGAGGCGACGCAATAGCACGACTGTGCACACGTACGTGCGTCTCTCACCTCTCTCTCACCGTGTTCGTAGTCGCGTTTCCCGCTCATTTGTTGCTACAGTACCGAGTGCGGCGTGGGGAGCGGTGGCGCAGTGGTTAGCGCCGGCATGAGGGTCTCCGTGTTCCATTCCCGGTGCACCACCGCCAGTCCCTTCACAAGATCGACATGGTTTTGATTTAAAGCTTTCGTGACTGCAGGGATTCATATTCTTGGTTCTTTCGGTAAAGTCACGTAGAAGGGAAATAATATCAAACAATCAAAATGCTCACGACGTTTCAAATTTTCTTGCTGTGGATTTCACACCTGATGATGATTGCTTGTGTTGCAGTCGAAACGTCGTGAGAATTTTTATTGTTTTATATTTATATTATTTTATTATTTCCCTTCTATGCGACTTTACCGAAAGAACCATTTTGACTGCTTGTGTTGTGGTTATTACAAACATGATCCCTTGTATAAATGTGTCAGTTTTTGTACCAGATGAAAGGGTAAAAACCTGTTACTATACTGTATTTTGTCACTGGTAAAGGAGATCTCGTAGTGTAAATGCTTACCCCGAGCTCTCAATACTCTGATAGTGCGCTGTTTTTGAGTTGTACGCCTTTTGGCGTCATCTGGTCCAACACCATGTGAGACTAGGCTCTAAGAAAAGCTGTCTCGGGTGTGGACCAATCAACTTCAAGGACAGTGCATATCATTATCAGATTTGTTTCTTTTGTTTGCATTTTGACTGCTTGTGTTGTGGTTATTGCAAACATGATGCCTTGTATAAAGATGTCAGTTTTTGTACCAGATGAAAGGGTAAAAAACCTATACTAAAGATCGACATAGTTTGGTGGTACATGTTGTTCACGTCGTTTATTGTGAAAATTCCGTCACAGTTCCTATGATCACTGTTTCATTGCTTTTATGGCTTTATTTTGGTGATTTTCGGAAAGTTTTTTGGTTTGGCCATGTTTGTTTGTTGTAGTATAGAGTTAGACTGATGGCCTTAATCTAAGTTGTCTTGTGGTTGTTGTTTGACTTGCATCCCACTGGGATTTTTGCACAGAGCGTTGGTGTGCGGTGCTTTTTCTGCAATATTTTGCTGTCTTTTCTTGGATTTTCTGTTTGCACTCAGTCACTTAGTCACTTTAAGATGTTTTCTTGTGTTTTAATATTTAAGTGTTTTTTTTTATTTAGGGCCCCTTTATAACATGTGCTACAGGCCCCGCACTAGCTTAATTCGGCACTGCCTCTCCCCACCTTCACCAATCCATACCATTGGTTAAATCACCCACCACAATCCTCAGGGCATAGTCATGCCGTCGTTTAACAGTGGGTTGACAAAAGGGCTGTACATGTACGGCAAGTCCTCACTTAACACGTGTTCACACAACGTGTTTTTGCGATAACACGGTTCTTCCATTCGGGAACAATGAGCAACATCACGGAAGGCACCTGTTATCACGTGGTTTCTGATCTGTCACACTGAGCGGAGTGATACAGTACGTGGAATGATGCAGTAACGCGGCGGCATACCCTCGGTTCGTTACGCTGCCATCGTGCCGTTGGTACGTACATCTCGCCAAACTTTATAGTTACGTTGTTTACGGGGAAATTGCTCTCGCTCCATTAACGTGGCGCTTTTCAGAAATGTATCTCCGACATTATACGAGGGCTTGCTGTAAAGACAAAATCATTTCTGCAGGTTGCTGCTTTCACAACAGCCAACTGACTGCACCTTGTATGTTCATCTACATCATGTTTTATGGATAGAATGTGTATTGGCCACCCCTTGCTCAATGTTATTTCCTCATGTCAATGCGTGCAGAATTTCAGAGAAAATGGCCAAAATAGACAAGATGAGCATCTTGGGGGTACGGAGCTTTGGCGTCAGTGACTGCGACAAGCAAGTGATCACTTTCCACACGCCGCTCACCATCCTGGTGGGTCACAACGGCGCTGGCAAGACGGTAAGGACCACAAATTAGCATTATCAGAGCCGGGATAATTAATTGCTTCACTGAATTACTCCATTGAACATCGCAATCGGCTACTTTTTTGTGGTTAATTGTTCGGGCCCATTTAAATGACAGCCAAAGGCTGGCAACCCTGCTACAAGCCACATCAAGCGTGAGCCGGCAAACAATGCAGATGTCATCACCAAGACCCTACCTATCACCTCCCATCCAGGGGCACACGTTGAAGCATAAGTGAAGCTTTTTTCCCCCAATTATTTTTTATGTTATCCGACTCGACGAGCAATGCAACCGATTATCGGTTTAGTGATTATATGAATAATCGGATAGCCCACCTCTTGTATGAATAGATAACAATTCATGTGCGGGATCATATTCAGAGACATTTGCGTAGCAGCATCCACACTCAGGCGCCAACCCCGAGGGTCGATCCTGACTTCAAACGCCCAAGCGACATCTCTTCCTATCCGCAAGTTTAGACAATTGCGGTCGATCTGATGCAGCCACAAAGCCTGTGGCTGGCCACTTGGGCTCCAGCACCAGCATGGTTCTCTAGTACAGAAAACCCGGTAGGCATGATCAACCAAGACGAAGTGAACCACAAGTCCCATAGTTGGCTGTACCATATTAAGCCATTCGCCTCTTCTTCATGTCTCTGCAGTCGCCTATGGTTAGACACGAAGTTATTCTCTCGGTACTCCCAAGATAAGCATTGGTTGTTACTCATGGTTGGCAAATTGATGTTGATTGACTCTTCCCTGCAGACGATAATTGAGTGCTTGAAATACATCTGCACTGGTGACTTCCCACCGGGCACAAGCGGCGCTTCCTTTATTCACGACCCAAAGGTATTCGTGTGGAACTTTGCAAGGTGTTGCTTTGTATAGACAATGCTATTAATATATAAAATGTACATGACGATATTCTTCACCATGACTGACATCCTCCTATAATTTCACCTTCTGCCCTCCACAAACGTGACGGAATTGTGGCAGGTGGCCCACGAGACTGATGTGAAAGCGCAAATTCGATTGCAGTTCATGGATGTGAACGGCGACATGGTAACCGTGCAGCGATTGCTGCATGCCACACAGAAGGCCAAGAAAGTGGAATTCAAGACCTTGGAGGGGGTTTTCACCCGGCTGAAGTGAGCAATGTGCTTTTTTGTTTGTAGTTTTCTTCTACATACGGCGATGTTGACATGTATGCTGACCATTTTAGGCTTCATATCTTAAGTAATTTGACTATTGGGTGGAACGGCAATGCAGTGGTTTGCGCACTGTGTTATGAACTCGGATGTCCTGAGTTGGATTGCGGGCCACTGTTGACATCAGTGGTGAGTGATGTCTGAACCCATGCTGGACAACGCGGAAAAGTATGGTCAAACAGTCCTATTGGCCAAATCGGCGTGGGGAGGCATTCGTCCAATAGCGGATTGATGAAGGTGTACATATTATAAATAATCTATTAATTTGGTGATTGTACATATACTCACAAATATTTTTTGTTTACCTGATCAAAATGTAATGATTAATGATGAAAAACTATGAATGATGCCAATACAAAAAATCTAACAACAGTGTAGATTACCGAAAGAACCAAGAAGATGAATACCTGCAGTCACGAAAGCTTTAAATCGAAATTTATAGACAATGCTATTAATATATAAAATGTACATGACGATATTCTTCACCATGACTGACATCCTATAATTTCACCTTCTGCCCTCCACAAACGTGACGGAATTGTGACTTTACCGAAAGAACCAAGAAGATGAGTAGTTTATGTGAATGTCGTTTCATGTTTGCGTGTTTGGATACGTGTGTTTTGCACGCTTTGTGTGTGTGTGTGTGCTCTTGAGCAGAAATGGAGAAAAGTACAGCATCAGCTCAAAGTGCACCGACATGAATCGCGAGATGATCACTGCCCTTGGGGTCTCCAAGGCCGTCCTGTCAAACGTCATATTCTGCCACCAGGAGGACTCTAACTGGCCGCTCAGCGAGGGAAAGGCTCTCAAGCAAAAATTCGATGAAATATTTTCTGCAACCAGGTCGGTGTGTGAGAGATGCAAATGTGTGTGCATTGCTCAAAAAACCATATCGAAAACGTTGCACTCAAATCATTTAGCGCGTTAAAACGTTCCCTGTTTTCACGATACATTTTTTTTCTTACTGCGTAGAATTGCCATTTTGTTGTGAAAATTGTTAGGGCCAGTTAGGGCGAGGGCAGCAATAGATCGGGGTTTATTGTGTAGGAAGAGGGGTGTAAATGCAATGACTCTTGAACACACCGCGTGCATGACTGGGCCACAAATAGTGACATTTACTTCATTTTACGACTATATTACGGAGACAGAAAAGTAACTTGTCTATTGCTTTGGATCGTTTTTCAAAAGGTCAAACGGCCACGTAGGGTTGAGATGAAAATCCGTATGACGTAATGTGCATGTCACGAGCTGGCTTTACATTTCCTTTTGTTAAAGTTTAAGGCTAATAAACTGACACTAAGATAACGCAGCACCAATAACAATCCTTATTTTGCATACGTTAAAAACTCCAACCGTTGTGGACTTTGGGCTCTCTAAAGTATATTTAATAGGAGTATGTGTGAATTCTGAAGTAAGTGTGCATGATTGTTTTACCTTTAACCTTGACAATCAGCTCAACAACTGATTATAGTACTTTTTGATAATGCCACTGTCCTGAAATTCATATAGTCCTACACATACAACTCAGCTATTTTACACAAATGACCTTTTCACTGGAGTGTTATTCATCTGCACAATCAGGCAATATAGCCCCTCCTTTTTTTCTTATAATTCTTGACTTTAAAACTCACTCCTTTGTCTGAGTTGGAATATACGGTTGAAAATGAGTCATGGGACTCAGGCATTCCTGGGGAAACAAGTGTAATTATAATAGCGGTATGGGCCTTCAGGCCCGTGCTCATCAATTGTGATAAAAAGAATGTGATTACCATTAAAGCGTTACATCCTTGACAAGATTCTTGTTCTCCAGCATTGGGTTCAAAGCAGTCAAAAACTATTAAAAATAAAAAAAAATGTATTCTACCAGGTAAAGCCCACTGAGCTATTTAGCTTTTTTTCAGAAGTGACCTGTCACAAATGATAGCCCAATTAAGTGGCTTCTGCTGAAATGTATAACAGCCAAATACTCTTAAGTGCTTTTTCAAAATTTGGAGGGAAAAACCAGAGGACTTGGAGAAAAATCCACATGACCACAGGGAGAACATGCAAACTCCAAATATACAGCAGGCGTCAGAGTCATGATGGAACCCACGACCTCCTGCATACCACGCATGGTAGTTAACTTCTCTCCACGGCTCCCAGTCGGTTGCGCGACACGGACATCGCCGCCAAAATTGTGAGCGACGCTCTCGTCTGCCTGCACCCAGGTATATCAAAGCACTGGACTCGCTGAGCAAGGTGCGTAAGGACCAGGGCTCCATCGTGCGAGAGCTGCAGGCCGTCGTGAAGCTGCTGCAGCAGAACAAGAACAAGGCGGAGGAGCTGCAGCGGGATCTTGATGACATTGTCGCGAAACTGGAGGCCTCCCGAGAGAGCGTGTTCACCATCGACCGGGAAGTCAGCCCGCTCGAGGTTGAGACATTTCACCACAGCGTTTCGTGGCATCGACGTCGGTGTAGACGAGTGGTAACATTTTGGCGATAAAGGTGCAGCACTGCAATGACTTACTCACGCCACTGCTGGAGGAAGGGCCTCCACTAAAGGGAGATCAAGAGTGCCCCCCATTAGAGGGTATTTGGCCTACTCATGCTGGCCAGATGTCTCAGAAGTACCCACACTTTAACCCTCCACACGTGACCTGTGGATCGGATAACTCGTTTATGTTGCTGTGTGGACATATGCATGGCTATTAAGGAAACGTGGCCATTGTTTCAACTGCCACACCGGGAGATCGAATCTGCACTTGACTTGTAACTGACTACTTTTATAAAAAATAAATGTCCACTGTTTCTGTACACAGTACCGTGAGATACGGTGCCATTTATATGCTATTTAAATCAGAATTCTATAATAAATTGTGTTTTATATTCATCATGCCCTTTATTTCCTGCCGTAATGAAGTTTACTTGTCTGAATTGTTAACCTGTATTCTTCTGTTGCAAGGCATTGATAATGATTAAAGTGGTGAGATTTTAATTGGCCTGTTCTTCCGCATCGATGCTAGTCCACTCCCATCAAATGATAATTAGCGATGATCATATGCACCGAGAATGTGCCCGATCCTGTCAGATCTCATATATTAAAACTAGTTGGAGCCTGTGTACTGCTAGGATGTTGTAAGTTGCTGTGGGACAGCTCAGAAAAAAGCCATTGCTCTAATGACCGTATTCTCCAACGTCTATGCTACCCGCCTTGAACCCGCAATGATGAGCGTAGTGAAGTACTCTGTTTAAATAACTCCTCATGACCCGCATGGAATAGGGAAGGCCCTGATCCTGCAGTGAATCGACAAAAGAGCTCTACATGCACAATCCGAAGCCACCTGAGTTGGATTGCGGGCCACAATGAAGACCCTTTCGATGCTTCAACTAGGCTTGTTGCCATTTCAGATAAACTTGAAGGACGTCGAGAGTAAGCTAGCAGTGGTGGTGAGATTGGACAACGAAGTGAAGGCCACGCAGAGCCGCCAAGCTCAGATGGAGGTGGACAGTCGAGACCTGCAGGAGAAGATGGAACAGGTAAGAGCCTCTTGACCTGCACGGGTACTGATGGGCTTGGGAGCCTTTTGCTCGAGCTTTTGTGGCAACCGATACGGCTGTCGAGTTTTAATATCATTTGATAAAGGACGACGTGCACAGTTGTTTAATTCTGCTAATTATTAACTCAAATTCTGTATCACAATCTACTCTATCCATAGCCGAAATACTAGCAAAAGCACATAACCCCTATATATTCTAGTTACTGACCAAATCGCCCACAATGTGGCCGACCTCGTCAGATCTCGGAAGCTAAGCAGGCTTGAGCCTGGATCGTGCTTGGGATGGGTGACAACCACACATGCAGGTATGCATCGGTGGCTGTTGGGCTACGCTGCATGATAGGCAGTAGAAAGCAGTGCATAAAAATAATTGTTTTACCGTACATAAAAGGCCGCACATTTACGTTGTCATTAAACTGTAACCTTCAAACAGCCTTCACTACCGCTTTCACCCGAATCCCATGTAAATGCTTTTTGACTGTCAATGTAGACGATCCGATTTCCTCTACAAATACCTTTTTTTCCACTGGCACATCTGAGCTGTGCCAGGGGGGGGACCCTTATAGTACGTGTGGTTTTTCACTGGCTAAATGCCGTGTAGGGCCGGAACCAAACCGTGATTTCGATGGCCCTACAAGAATCTCTATCTGGCTTGGGGCCATTGGAAGGCCAGGAGCGTGTTTTGTAATTTATTCAATTGCATTTGATGTCTGTCCAACTCGAACATAGCGTCACCCCGTCATGCGAATGCATCCTGGGCTCGTTCATAAGGTCTGACGTCGGCGGGTACGGCTTGGCTCCCGTGTTGGAAAAAAAAACCAACAACCTTTACACCATTGGGTTCTGGTCCAACCCATGTGAGACTCGGCTCTAAGGAAAGCTGTCTCGGGTGTGGACCAATCAACTTCAAGGACAGTGCATACATTATCAGAGTTATGTTTTTTGTTTGTATTATGACTGCAGGTATTGTGGTCTATGTAAACATGACTCCTTGTAAAAAAGGTGTCAGTTTTGTTGCCAGATAGAAGGGTAAAAAACCAATTATCAACAACAACCTTGTGTCGCCTGAGCTCGATTGTACATTGGAAAGCAGGGACAAGATGACCCCGTGGCGGCGTCATGTGCCTAGGTGTTTCAAGGCACGGACGAGCAGCTGCAGGAAGCTTACAGCAGCCACCAGCGCAGGGTGCAGGAGAAGGAGCGTCGGCTTGGGGAGCGGCAGCGCGAGCTGGAACGCGTCAACAGGGAGGTGCTCCGTCTGCGCAACGTCAAGGGGGGGCTGCACGTGGAGCAAGGTGCGTGAATAGGGCGTGCTTTGAGCGCTTTCTGCCCGCGTACTGTGTGACCCAGGCGTTAACACACACGGGTGTTACGCATGGGTCACGCGTGTTACGCATGGGTCACACTTGTATTATGCGCTTGTGTTTAGAATGTTTCATACAGGTTCGTCCGTGTATGTGTCATCCGATTAGCATGGTTGCTACGTACAGTGCAAAAGAAGTTGTATATGCATACGTATGTTTTTTTTCAAGTTTTTCTGTATAACTCCCTGCTGTGTTTTATGCAAGATTTCTATTTAGTTTCTGAAGAGAATCCCAGAATGTGGAGCGAAACGTCTGACATCATTGCCGATGTACAACCCGAAAACTCTTCGGAGAGCTATAGGTCATATAAAAATGAACATATAAATATTCTTATGATAACTGGACCCCCTTTAATGCAGCTGGACAAAATCAATTGATTATCACAGGGATGAGAATACACACGGAGCTTTGTTGAAGCTGAGCACAGTTGTAAACCTTGAGATTACAGCTCCATGGGATTTCAACTCAAGGTTGGTGTGGGTGGAGCCTTAAAGATGTGGCCATAATTTCTTGAGTCTGTTTAGTGCCACAGATGTTTTCAACAAATACTAATATCGGAGTGTAATTTTAATGATATAACAAGTTGAAATTTCTTCTCACTGATAAATTGTTATCACCCATTATTGTAGGCTCCGGGATTGGAATAGCTGCCACTTTGCATGAAAACGAAACTTCATGGGCAATACTGTCCTCCTAAAATCTTGCAAAAGGCACCTTACACAGCGGGTCGAATAGCCTCACGGACGGCGGAGAGGTTGGCGGGCCGGGTAGCTTTGCATGCACCGTGTGCATTGCGCGCGTTGCTTGTTGTCGTCGGTGTCTGTCGCGCTTGCAGGAAAACTACAGCAAGAGGCCGAGAGGCACGCGTCCACTGTGAAGCGTCGAGACCAGCTGGTCCAGACCCTCGCGTCAGAGCTCGAGCTTGACGGGTACAGCAGCGTCCCGCTGTCCGACCGGCAGGTGTCCAGCTTCACGAGGCTCGTCCGAGAGAGGATGGAGCAAGACGACAACAACGTGAAGCGCCTGCTGGTAAATCATTAACCAGCGCTTCTCTCCGTGGAGAGAACGCATTAAACAGGTGTCATGGTCTGCTGCTGCTGTTGCTGCTGCTGCTTGAGGGCCTATGCTGTCAGCAGAGGGCAGTGCGATGAAATCCATTGTTGTACCCTGATATCTATGCTGCCTGCCTTCACCAACTCTCACTGACCAGGGTGGGGAAGTATGGTAAAATTACCTGCACGCTATGCACAGTCCCTCATCCAGCAGTAGTTTGAAAAAAGGGTTATACATGTACTGTACATGTACTATACATAAGGATATATTGAATGACATGCACCACTTTTTGTATGTTTGTTGAACTTCTTTTGCACTGTACGTAGCTAACCATGCTAAACAAACAAAACATGTTTTCTAGGTTTTTGGCTTCAATGATACTTATACGCTAACCTGCTTCATTTTCTACGTGTGGCACGGCAGCACGAGTTTGAGGAGAAGGAAAACGAGAAGCAGCGTCAGATGGACGATGCCAGGGAGCGCAAGACGGCGGCCGAGAGCTCGGTGCAGCTGAAGCGGGAGCTGCTGGGCGACAAGCAAGCCGAGCTGGAGGAGAAGCGCGCCGAGCTGGGTCGGCTGCAGAGCTCCGGGGACCGGCTGCAGGTCGTCGAGAGCGAGCTAAGGGACACTGTGAGTAGCAGCGATTTCATTTACATGAAAGCCGTTTCGTTAATTCTTTCAATGGAAAGTTTTGCTCTCTGAGTAGGCCGTGCGATGTTGTTTCGATGATGCTCTGAATTCTTCTTCTTCCTGGCATGTGTTCCACTCGTGTTGGGTCTCGCCGCGGTGGCGAGATGTTAACTACCTCGCCTGGTATACATGAGGTCGTAGGTTCCATCCCGACCCTGGTTACCTGTATGTTTGAAGCTTGCATGTTCCCCGTGGTCTCCGGTTCCTCCGGTTTTTCCCTCCACCTTTAGAAACATGCGTTTAAAGTGTTTGGCTGCTATAAATGTCCACATGGTAATCCCACTTTGTTGAGCTATCATTTGTGGCCAGGTCGCTTCTGAAGAAAATTGCTCAGTGGGCCTTACCTAGAATTTTTTTATTTTCTAGTTGTAGATTTCCTGGTTCCTCTTACTCCACTAATTTTTGTCCTGGGCCATCTACAGATCTACTCCACATTCCTTCCTATCCTGGCTCACTGCTTTGAACCACCCTTTCCTAGGCCTGCCACTCGGTCTCCACCCTGGGGAGCTTGTGGGGAATGGGGAGGGTTGTGATATGATATCTGTGAGTTTCAAAGTAATTTACTGTCATTGAATTCTAGTGGACTGCTAGTATATATATATATTCAAAAGATTAAGATCCCCTGTATAGCCTGAACAGACTGTTGGGGCAAGTGCTGTTAGCAAGCACCTATGACGGCCAGGCACAGCACACGAGGGTTGGGTGGCCAACACCATGCCCGGCCGCCTTTGTTTCCCCAGTGGCGATGTTTACACACCGCACCAGGTAATCATTTAAGGCTGAGTCGACTTAGGGGAGGCCCAGGACCGATTCAGATAATCGTCACTGGTGTTGGCAGTGAGCGGGAATCGAACTTGGGTCGCTGGCTTTGTAGTGCAGCGCGCTAATCGCAACACTACCACTCCCCACATATATATACACACACACATATACACCTACCCAGGATACGTTCATCATGTCCCGCTGTTTTATACAGCGCGGACACTTAATAAACCCAAATGGAATTACATTGTACTCATATCAATGTCATGTGAGTCAGTAATACTTATCCTTACTGCTTACATTGCCACTCTTTACGACTTGCGTTGGCACTGCCAGGAGCACCAGCTGGAGGTGGCGGAGGGCTCGTCGCAGGCGGAGGGGCTCCGCACGGAGCTGCAGCGGATGCAGCGCGAGCGCACGGATTTCGACAGCCTTCCTCCGCCGCCTCGACCACGAGATGTCCACGCTGAACCTGCACACGCAGGCCCGCACGCAGCTCGACATGCACAACAAGGAGAAGGTGAAGCTGCGGTGTGGACCCAGGGATTGTGCGAACGTGTTTCGTGTCTTGCCACGAGTCAAACAATCAAATCTAATCTCTCGTGGAGCAGTAAAACCCACTGTGTTTGAGAATGATGCACGTAATCCGCTTCGATACCTCTAAGATACTTTCAACACGGTGGGGGGGGGGGGGGGTATGGGCAGCACTTTCACATCTGCCCCGATACAGAGTAGTGTTCGTTGCTTGAGAGAAGTCTAAATAATATTTCATTCTCAAAGCTGAAATACAACCATGTTAAGTACGAAACTAAATTAAATATGACGTTTTTTAAAATCTCTGTTCATTTATTGTTGGCCAGGCTGCGACTCAACTTTCTCCGCACTTCAGAACCCGGTTTAATCACTGGTGGCTGCTTCAATTAGTCCCCAGTGATCTCAACAGTGCCAGCTAATCGCTCTTTTCTTTGGGAAACGCGTGTCACGTCTGTCTTCTAGGTGGAGAAGGAGGAGCAGATCCGGCGTATCCGTTTGCGGCACGACAAAACGCTGGTGACGTTCGTGGGACACTTTCCCAGCAAGGGAGAGCTGGAGATGTGGCTGGACCGTCGTGCCCAGGAGAGGCGACAGCTGCAGGCCAAGATCCAAGGTCTCAAGTGAGTGTGCCTCTGTCTGTTTCATAAATTGTCACCTGGACCTAGCAGCTGAGTCATAATGTTGTCATCATCACCTACAGGGGGAACTTTGGCCGTTTGTTTAGTTTTTTTTTCGTTCTACAATTCTTTTGTCCCGATTGTGTCATAGGCGTCACGTCTTGAGGTCAAGGCTCCATTAAGAACCAATGTTGAATAACAGTCCGCAGAAGGGGATATCATAAAACTACTTATGATTAATTTCAAGTGACTTGTCTACACAAGTGAGCAGCACTGTCACACCCCACCTTCTTAAAGAGAGAAATGTTCTTTGCATGACAGTCAACTCCAATATTTTTAATTCTCAGAGCTGAAATGGGTGTTTTTGTGAAGTCTATGGGTGACCGGACTGAGACAATCAAATAGCGCAACCCAGTTTAATTACAGTTTAATTAACTGTGTTTAAACCCAGGATCTCAGCAATGCCAGCTGGACCTCTGAGCCACCTGGCCACCTCTTGCTGCAATTTTTTTGACAAATCGCCTGATGAAGCTGGTTGTAATCACCAGCGAAACGTCGTTCTCAAATTGTAAATGTTGTGGGTTTTCATCTTCAACACACTGTTTACCTGACAAACCTTACAAATTGGCTGTGCCGGGTGGTGGTGGGTTAACGACAGATTCATATTTACGCAATTTAACCCCTAAAAGCCTTTTTTTATGAATGCTACTTTAAAAAAAACTATATTTACGAATGCACCTACGTCTCACGACCTTCGCTGTGGGGGTGCCTTTTTTACCACTGGGCACCTTTGTGCGAATCTCAAACCACAGCAAGCTGCTGGCATCGGCGGAACAGAACAAGTCCCACCTGACCACGGAGCTCCGTCGCAAGGAGGAGCGACTCAAGGAGAACGAGGAGCAGCTGTTTGAGCTGTGCGGGGGCCGTGACCTCGAGAGTGAGCTGTTGGCGCTGCAGGACCAGATTGAGCGCACCAACAAGCAGCGAGGTGGGGTGATGGTTTGCACGTTCCTGCCGATATAATTGAATGCTTGTAACTCTTGATGATCCCTGATCAGGTTATTTGGGTTGTGGATTAACCATGCTCGCTTCAGCCTCTTAAAGCACATGCTGTTTTAATGCTTAGTTGCTCCGCGCTTGTTGGGGTCAGTGACTCGGTGCCCACAGCACCACAAAAATATCGACAAGTAAATCGATTACGTCAAGAAAAACACATCACCATTGCATGTCTTTAACTTCATTCTTTGTAGGTAGAGGATACATACGTGTTGTTTTTGCCTAATTTTCAGATGTTTTATATCATCCGTGTTTTAGTTGTATCTGGGCCACCCCAGCCACAGATAATTGGGAGCTGACGTCTAATTTTCTCATTGCTTGTTGTAGCTCCCCAACGCTTGCACGTTAAACAGTGCTGTTGACTGCGTCGCTCGTAATGTGCTCTCAATCTGCTTTGGCATTCGTCACGGACCCCGCCGCCTGTCCCATTCCTCTCCGTGCGACACGTTGTAGCGATGCTCGCCGGTGCCTCGGCCGTGTACACCCAGTTCATCAGCCAGCTCACGGAGGAGTCTGGACCCGACGACTTGGAGGGTATGGGGCGGCGGCGGCAGGCGGCGGCGGTGGCGGCGCTGGTCAGGGGTCGCCGTGCTGCCCCGTGTGCCAGCGCGCGTTCCAGTCCGAGTCGGACCTTGCCGAAGTGGTGAATGACCTGCAAGCCAAGCTGCGGCTGGTGCCCGACAAGCTGCGGGCCACCGAGACCGAGCTGACTCGCAAGCAGAAGCGACGTGACAACATGATCCAGCTCAAGCCCATGCAGTGAGTGCTGCCGGGGTCGGGTCACAGCTCGGGTTGAGAGGGGGGGGGGGGTTCGGTTACGGCTGCAATCGCAATTAGCGTTGGGGGGAATTGGTAGAAGCGAGGTTCGCGTGGGGGCTTGCACTACTACCCTCGGCTTGGTTGGGTTTGCATCGGGCAGTTGAAGTCCCCCGTTGTTTTTGTTTGATGTGATTTGTTGATTGAAATGAAAGTCATAGGTCTGTGTAGGTGTGTCTTGGAGTTGCCGCTTCATGTTGTTTAATTAATGCTGGCTTAGTGCTTGTGTGTTCGGCTCCGTGGTGTCTTGGGAATAAAATGTAGGTATTGTGCAGACTATGCCAGGCTGCGTATACATACACACATCAACAAACAAGCTCACGTGTTCCTCATCAAGATTGTCTATATGGTTTAGCTTGGAGTTGTAGCGCAGTGGTTAGGGCACTGCACTATGAACCCAGGGACCTGAATTTTATTCCTGGCCATGACTACGATTAGTGCCGAGTGATATCTGCACCGGTCCTGCCCCCCCCCTTCACCAACTCATACTACCAGTGTGGTGAAGTATGGTCATACAACCCGCAAAAAAACCTCTATTATGGATGGAAATGATCATTCAGAGGATTGGTCTTTGCTTGAAATATCTTCCGATACAGTGTTACATTATAAAGCGGTGTTAATGACCAATGTGGCACATGTATTATTTATTACTACACGTTTGTTTACCCAGAAAGGTCTGACTGGGTGCACAACTGTCGAGGCGGCCCTGTAATATTTTATTTGTATAAATCTATATGCCTAAGATCAACTCGCCTGAAATACGCCTGTTGTTAAGGTTTTCTGAAGCTAAGCAGCGTTGAGCCTGGATAGTGCCCAAACAATTGATCATGTCCTCCTCACAGGCAGAGGGTGGTGGAAACGAGCGAGAAGGAGCTCCCAGAGCTGCGCAACCGTCTATCGAGCCTCAACCAGGAGATCCAGCGGCTGAAGAACAGTCTGGACGAGGAGGAGACGCTGCAGGCCACGCTCGAGTCCGAGGAGGACGCCGTCAAGAGCTGCCAGCAGGACGTGGCACTCATGGACCGCTTCCAGAGCGACCTCAGGGAGCTGGAGAGGAAGGTGGCGCAGCAGATGGCGCGGCTTGGCGGGCGTGGATGTGGAGCGCACGCTGCAGGTGGTCGGGGACGAGAAGCAGGATGTTCAACGCAAGCTCGACAACGGTGAGGGAGTGGCCGATCGTTAACCCTCTTTCCCGTTCCGATGATGACATACCTACGTGTGCATCGTCAAGTTTTTTCCTCTCCGATTCAGTTCCGATTACATACGTTTACATCATCAGAAAGGAATCGATACCGAATGGAATCTAATCCGATCCCGAAAGGTATTGGAAGTTAAAGGCCATGCGGGAGGGCGTGTGGCACAGTTTGGTGCCAGCTATCATCAGAGTGCGGTCGTGCCACTACAGTTGTCTGCAGTAGAATGTCTTTAAAAACCGCAGTGCTAAGCCTCTCTAAATGAAATTGACGCTAAGCGCTTGCGCGTTCCGAGATTCAGCAGTGAACGGGAAACACCCAGCAACTTGCAGACGTCTCAGAACGGGAAAGGGTTCATGCTGCTATCGCCACTACGGTTGCGTTGGACCGGCAAAGGGACGTAGCACTCGCCACGCCAGCCGGACATTCGCAACAAATTCGTGCATATGGAGCACTCGTTGGTGGAATGTTCAGGATGGCAGAATGATGGTCTTAGAAAAGTGACTTGACACTATATAAGCTATTCCTGGATGGAAATATGAATACAATTATTCACCCGCTTATACATCCTAAGATGCTCACTACTACACTTGTGATTCTGGTTTAAACACAGACAGCTGAAACCTGGATTCGAACCTCGGGTCTCAGCGACGCAGGTTCAGCACTCTGACCAGAACCAGCCAGCCACCCTTTTCCGTTATTGTTTTAAACAACAATGACAATGCCGTATCTCATGACCATAGCCGTGGGTGATCTTCCCGAGTGGACTTCCCTTTCCGCAAACTCAAAACCACAGTGAGTAGCTGACGCCAGCAGAGCAGGGGGCAGGTCCAACGTGGGCCTCCTCGCAGCAAGGTGGAATATTCACACGCTGGCGCCGCATGGGCTGCGTGTGTTCCCCCTTTACAGTGAACAACGCTTTGGAGCTGAAGCGATTGGCGCTCGAGACGGACGTGGAACGCATCAACGAGCTTCGGTCGAGGGTCAACTCCGTGCGGGAGGAGAAGGCTCCGGCTGGCGACCGGCATGCAGCGCATCGAGGCGCTGCGATCCCTCACTGCCGAGCTGGAGGCCGAAACGAGCGACCTCAAGAGGCAGATCCAGGTTATTTGGGGGCGCCGTGTTTTGACACCGCAGGTCACGTGGTGGCTTTTCGAATTCCATTTGGGATTCTAGTCAAAGAACGACCACCCCGTCTGTGGTGGTTGACGGGCATCGCTAGCCGGAGTCGATGGGCGGGTTGGCTTGTTGGTGGGATAAAGTGTGGGTACTCCCGTATCTTCCAAGACGTCTGGGCAGCGTCGAGGGAGCTCTAGAGTGGAGGCCTTTCTGCATTTGGTGCCTTGAGCAAGCAAGTGCAGAGCAGTACATTCTCTGACAAATTAGCATCGTCTTAACACATTTGTATCATGTTAAATGTGTGTTGTCTTAAATTTGTATTGCCTTCAAAATGTTTTGTCGTCATGGGTATTTTGCGTAGCATACTAATGTGACTGTAGGTGCTGTCTTACATGTGTATAATCTTAACATACCAAGTTGAATGTAGGCACTCTCTAATAGCGCCCACCTGCATGACTAAACGTGTGTATCCTTGCGTGGGTGCAGGAGGCACAGGAGCAGGTGCTGCCACTGGAAGGAACACTGAGGAAGCTTCAGCAGGAAAAGGCAGAAATCGTAGCGAGGAAAACTCGCGAGCACAACCAGGCAGCACGCCGGGTACTTGGCCTCAACTTCCTGCTCCGTGAAGACATTTGTACACGAAACAAATTCAATGTTTGCAAGTAAATTTACGGTCACGTCCGATGTATCTGAATTCTGTCGCTGATTTCCGATGTTAAACACCACTTGCCACCCATTTAAAAAATCATTCCATGCTGCAGTGTTTGTGATGGTTATATTTATGAATGTGTTTTACGCGTTTCGGTTTTTGACTCCAACAGATATCTGATTTGCAAGATAAAAACAAGAACATAATAGCATTCATGAAAGAAGTGGACACGTACATTAATTCTGGACGAGACCAGCTTAAAAAGGTTAAGTTACACTTTGTATCTATATTCCTGTTATTTACTTAGTGCGGCAGCGATTATATCAATACGACTTCCCTTTCACGGCTGTTTTACGTGGCTTTACCACTTTATGTAATATGATCTTGAAAATGCAGTGCACTACTTGCACGGCTTGAAAATTGTGATACTCAACCTCTGCAGTCACTCTCATTAGAGCAAATACAAAGACAAAGATTCCCCCCATAACCTTCACAGACCGTTAGGGCAAGTGCTGTTAGCGAGCACCTATGAAGGCCGGCACGGCACACGAGGGGTTGGGTGGCCAACACCACGCCCGGCCGCCTTTGTCTCCCCATTGGCGATGTTTACACACCGCACCAGGTAATCATCTAAGGCTGAGTCGACTTAGCGGAGGCCTAGGACCGATTCAGATAATCCTCACTTGTGTTAGCCGTGAGCGGGAATCGAACTCGGATCGCCAGGTTTGTAGCGCAGTGATAGAGCATTAGCTTTCTCATGAACACAACGCGCTGTTCTCATGACCATCCCATGGCGTGAACAGAACAAGGAGCTGGAGATGCAGGAGGTGGCGAGGGAGCTGAGTGGCGAGGAAGAGAATCAAGTGCAGATCGGCCGTGACATCAGCGGCATCCGGCAGGAAATTGACACGCAGAAGGTTCGCACAAGGACGCACAATCGTCCACCCCCACAGAGCCCAAGGCAGCGGCTTTTGGCTCACCCATCGTACAAATACGGTCACTGCATCGCGCGCTTTCAGATATGCTTCTGCGGGCCGTCTGGAACGCTCTTCCTTCCGATATTAGGAAGCCATTGGAGCTATGGACTTTTACATCTAGATTACAAACTTTCTTTAGAACTGCTTTTTGCGTTTAGTTTGTTGTCCTTCTCCTGCACCTCTGATTAGCACTGTTGGCTACGTACGGTGTGAAATAATTTCAACACACATACAAGGCTCCACACTGCCTCCTCAGACAACTTGAGCTCTCTTCATCTTGAAAAGTATGTCAAGGATGCACAAAGCAACCAACATAGGATTTCCTTCAGTTACAAACCTCCATGAGAGGGATAACGAACCGAGTATAGACTCCTAACTGGAATTTTAACCTAAAACCGAAAGATTGAAAGTCGGGTACTACCAGAATACTGCCTGGTTCCGGGGTTTGCAACTAAAAATGACAAGAAGAGTCATTTTTAAAAAATATAATTCAGTAAAAAAACTCTATTTAAAAAATCCGCAGTGCATGTCAATATGTACATACATTACGTCACGAAGGAATCCGTAAAAAGCCACATGTTGCTCCGAAGCCGCAGAGTGCCGGCCGCCTGGTCTGGCTGTGTTGAGGGTCGGGTAATTGGGAGCCGCTGTGTTGTCTTGTACTTCAATAGAGGATGAGTTAGTGGGACTTCGCTAGCGGTGACCAGGCCACACTCCTCTTCCCAGCTCAAGTTGTCGTCTGGTCCCGCGCTGCCGCAGGTACGCGAGCGCTGCCTGCAGGACAACCTGACCCTGCGGCGACGCCAGCAAGAGCTGGCGAGCGTGGGCGACAGCATTACTCGCCTGCTGGAGAAGATGGGCAGCATGAACGTCATGCAGCTGAAAACGTGGGTCTTTATCAAGCGCAGCTAACAACCACCTCTTGACCCGCTACCGAGAAATGTTAATTGCGACTCGAATCACAATGGTCCCATTCGTGAGTGTAGTCGTGGTTGGAAGGGTTAGCGCGCTGGTTCCATGCTCTGCACCGTGAACCCCGTGACCTAAGTTCAATTCCTGGCCAAGGTTAACATAACTGATGTGTAATATCTGAACTAGTCCTTAGCCTCCGCACGTAACCAAATCGCACGAACCAGTATATTGAAGTACGGTTTAAATAAATCCCCATGACCGATACGGTATGAGGATGCTTTTGTCTGTCATTGGATTGACGTAGGACCGCGCGCGTTAATTTTAAAGAGCTTCACAAGACGTCCGTCTATGTGCAAGCAAATCAGAGGGCAACGTCGTCGTTTTACATTCGAGGCAATTAAATTATCAATCGCACAGCCTCTTTGAGCGATTGCGGCCGACTAGGGGTCTTCCGTTGCTGTGTGCGCGCAGAGAGCAGGAGCGGCTGATCAGTCACCTGGAGGAGTTGAAAAGCAAGCGGAGTCGCGCCCTGGGAAGGCAGCAGGGTCTTCAGGACACGAAGTACAAATTCGAAGGGCAGCTCAAGGACAAGCAGTTTCGAGATGCTGCCAAGGAGTACATGGACAACATAATCGTCATGAAAACGAGCGAGCTTGCCTGCAAAGACCTGGATGTTTACTACAAGGCTCTGGACCAGTGAGAAAGCTTTCCATCTTTGTTGACTTTAATCGTCGTCGGTTGTGCTCGTTTCGTTCGTAAAATTGCCGTGGTGTTGATTTTTATTAGCGTCGGCCACATGCAGAGCACACGTAGAGTTTGTTTTTATTTGCTTGCTGGTGTGTGCCGTGAATTCCTACCGTACGTTTTAAATTGTGTTCATTTGTCCATCACTTTATGTTAATTTGTTCATGATTTTTTTTCCCGTCATTCAGGGCTATCATGAAATTTCATAGCATGAAGATGCAAGAGATCAACAAGATTATCCGTGACCTGTGGAGGAACACTTACAGGAGTCAAGGTAAATTCAAATACAAATTCAGTTTGTACAAATGCATTCATCAAGTTAATTTAACACCAGTTATCCCACACCACGTTGAAGACGTTGTAGCACATCTATTAGAGTGAACATTTAACCTGTGACTATGTTCACCCTAATGCGTTGGACCAACTCAATTGGGTGACAGTGGTTTGATTCCTGCCTGTGGCGAACATTCGTGGCGAGTAATATCTGAGCCAGTCTTGGTCCTGGGACCACCCCATCACCAACTTACACCAGCAGGTGAAGTATTGTTAAACAATACGTATGTATGTATTTCGAATTTCTTTCGCACTGTACGTAGCCAACCGTGCTAATCGGAGGTGCTGGAACAATACGGGGAGTTCTTCATCTATCAGTGGATTGAGAAAATACCATTATAATACATGGACTTTGTGAATAGAAGTCCCGGGCTTTTAGTTTTTGTGTAAAAGTATAGAGCACTCACAGCCACTTCCCCCTTCACGCGAGTGTAGACATCGAGTACATCGAGATCCGATCGGACGCCGATGAGAGCGCGTCGGCCTCCGACAAGCGGCGCAACTACAACTACCGCGTGGTGATGGTGAAAGGGGACACGCCTTTGGACATGCGAGGCCGCTGCAGTGCTGGCCAAAAGGTCTGGAAATCTTGATGTCCGTTTTTTTTTCCTCTCTTCGTAAATCCTGCACAGATTACTGTGGCTCAACAACACCGGCGAGCCAACTTCCAACTGTGTGTCTCTGGCTCGCCGATCTGTTTCTGGGAGTGTGATTTCCCAATTGCAGATGTATTCGAGCACGTTTGGCTTCGTCGTCCTCTAGACCAGAGGTGGGGAATCGGTGCTCTGTGGCTCATGTGGCTGTAGGCCACTTCAAAATGGCCTGCACTCAATATTTGTCCACTTCTGCAAGAATCTTAGTTGCGCCAATTGGGTATGCGAGGAAGTTGTTTTCAACCTTGGAAATACTGCATTTCTAATTTTAGTGCGCTCAGTCACTTTTGTCACTGCAAGAGGGTTGTGAAGTGACGGACGTGACTGATATGTGTGATAATGTGTGACCCCTTAAATGTATTTTAAAGTCCTATTCGGCTCTCGCTCAGGAAAGTTTTACAAACTGTGCCCTACACTGTGTTCTACTGATGTTGCTATACAGGACGATGTTGGGAAATGTTTCAAGAGAAAACTTCCAGATCACCAAATGACCAAAGTCACGTGTCTCCTAGCTGCAGCGTATGGGGTCAAATTGAGAAACGTAAAACGTCAAGATCCCATCGTCTGTCGCTCTCTGTCTTGCTCTTCCAGGTGCTGGCGTCGCTGATTATCCGGCTGGCGTTGGCAGAGACGTTTTGTCTGAACTGCGGCATTTTGGCCTTGGACGAACCGACCACCAACTTGGACCGAGAGAACATAGAAAGCTTGGCACATGCACTCGTCGAGTAAGAATGCATTTATGGCTCCTACATTGGATTGCTTCAACGAATGCTGCCGGTTAAAATCGATCCGTAAAGCCGGCAGGCCGTTGGACATTTCAATCGTATGTGGAGACACAGAACGGAGTTTTGCTTGTACATTTTTCTGCCCATAAAGCATCACAACAATGCCGAATGAGTTTATATGACATCACAATGTCGGATGTGGTGATGGATTTGCATAGTTCGTGCAAGACGTAAAGCACAATAACTTCCCTTTACTATTTAATGGCTCTGTTTTTAAACTCAACATGTGCTTTTCCACTCTTAGAGCACACACTCGTGCAAATTCCTCACACAGTAAATGTTGAGTCCCGCGCACTCAAAACGCTGTAAAACGTTACGGGGAAGTTACTTTCATGAAGGACGCTTGTAACACGTGCCCTGAGAGAACACATTCACCCCAACCTGGGCCCGTTTCTGAAATTATCTTCCACTCATTTATTCTATCGCTTGCATCCTAATTACAGCCTCACCTACTTATAAGATCAGTTGTCACCACTTACTTCATCGTTTTCTTTCTCACCATGTGAAATCACTAATTAGTTTCCAGCAGAGGCCTAAATCTCAGGTCTCTTGTCAAGTCTATGAATCGAGAGGCTTCCGCATTTTTGAGCACAATTATAACGCTCTCTCAACGCTTGCGCAACATCTGCGTGCTTGTAAGGGTACAGCTATTTATATTGCTTGTGTTAATGAGCACATTCCTTAGATGAAGTTTTAGGTGACCTAACTCGGGCTCAAGTAGGCTGCTGTTATGTTGGTTTTGTAAGCCTGGATCCAAAATAAATCAGAAGCTACACCACAATAACACCAGTTTTTGCATGCAAGAGATGTGGATTTGCATAACCTCACAAAATGAATGGATGTGATGCGCGTAGTTATTTATGGCAGAATGTAATGAGGCATTGTAAGTCTGTAAATGTTTCCCCTGACGTTAATGCTGAAGGTAAAACATGTTTGTAAGCTGGTCTAACTTTTTTCCAACTGCCGAAAGGGCATTTAATAACTAACAGTCTTGGTCCAAAGTGTGATTGTTTATCATGTTCACCTAAAAAAAATCGAACTTAAAAGACTTTTCTTGGTGATTTTGTGAATGATATTAACTGTTTCAGTGTTATCCTGCACTGCACTGGTGGATTGACGTCCAAGGACATTTTTTTGAAGGATTGCAATCTGGTTCTAAGTTCATCGTTCATATTTCCTCACACGAGTGTGCACTCTTGACATATTTATGTTTGAAATTAAACTTGAGTAACGTTACCATCATGTGCCAACAAATGTGTGAGGAACTCGAGCTTTATCTCGACTTGTTTGTTTTAAGCAAGCATTTGTGTTTCCAAGCTCTGGAAAGATTTTCATTTGAACAGCAACAATTTATGACCACTTCTGTTGCTTTAAGATAAGATAATAACAATCTGCAATCAATTCCGCTGTTCCGGATAGCTAGCGAAAGCAAGTCACAAGAGTAAATTGACTGTTTACTTGGCTTGCAGCGAGTCAGAAAGCCTAGCGGGTAAGTATGCGATAAGAATTCGGCATCTCTCTGCTCTGCAGGATCATAAAGAGCCGCTCGCGACAGCGGAACTTCCAGCTGCTGGTGATCACTCACGATGAGGACTTTGTGGAGCTGCTGGGCCGCTCCGAGTACGTGGACCACTTCTACCGAGTGCGCAAGAACAACGAGCAGTGCTCCGAAATCGTCAAGTGCAGCGTCAGCACCCTGCAGGCATCCGTAGCGTAGATCTTAGACTCCAGCGCATGGGGAGGTGGCCCCGTCTTTTTGATTCCTTGTCACGCGGGGCCTACTTACTAAGAGGCCTGGAAATAGATTCTTAAGGGCCAGAGTATGCCGTTGAAAATATTACAGCTGTACTTTTCTGGGTGCAGAGTAGGAGCATATTACTGTGTAGATTTTGCAGTTGTGCTGTATAGCCCTCTGATGTGATTTTGGGTTGTAGCGCGTGTCTTCTTGGCATGATGGATGTGTCGCTCCCATTAGAAGCTTCAGTCACTTCATTGACTTCAACAGTTCTTGAAAAACTTTGCACATGAAACAAAACATTGGCTAGCATGTCGAGAAATACACAGGACATCCTAAAACTTCATAGGATAGCTACAATAGAAATTTGCTAAAGCAGTGATGTCCACATTTTACATTGATTTGGTTGGCCGTGATTTGCCATGAGTTGAGTTTTATAACTTGATTCTCAATAACATTGACTCCAGGAGCAATTACTGACTCAAGGTTATTGTTAAATACACCTTTGTTAGGAAAATTTTCTTTTAAAAAATGTCAAGTTTAAAGTTATTTTCAAAGGGAACTCATGAACATGCACGTTCTACACAAATGAATTTGATTGGATGACATGACCATGGAAAAAAATGTGTGGAACTATAAAAGCAACTTTTGTTCTTCCGCAGATGCAATGCTGATCTTTGTTTGGCCCACAGTAGTAACCAACATGTGATGTGGACTGTTTGTTATGTGCACAGGTGACCAAAGTGGCCTTTGATTGAAATTATGTTGACACACCTTATTTGACTGGTAGGAACCTCCTGGTTACACCAGCCCACAGGGGATTATTGTGTCCGTCGTTCAGTGAGGGGCTGGGTAGGGAGGGAGGGGCTGGGTGAGGAGGGGCTGGGTGAGGAGGAGCTGGGTGGGGCTGGGTGGGGAGGGGCTGGTCACCCCGTGGTACCCTTATAAAACTCAACGTTTAACCTACTCACGCCGGCTTGTGCCCGCCCTCACAGTCGGGCATTGACCGAGCAACCCAACGTTCCTACCAGCTCCCTCTGCAGGAAAGTGTTAACGAGTGCCTGAATTGTATCCAGTGTTGGGTAGATTTAGATGTTTCATCTTCATGGTTGATTTGCGTTGGTGTTTCTTCATCCTATATATTGTTGAACAGATCAGAATGTTGCAGTGATTTCAGCCGTTTGCTACAAGTCGTGAACATAATAATAGTGTATCTTGTTCGCATATGTCCACGTTTAAGTTTATTGGACATTAGGTCGGCTGCTACCTTCCAAATGACTTGCTGTGTTCCACAGGTTCCAATAATGACTTGATAAAAACACGATTTTCAAATTTGCCTGCCGTCGTCACAGTCGGAACGTTTGATGCGACAGTTTTACAATCGTCGCGTAACTCCATGTCACACTTGGATATTCCACTTTAAAAAAAAAAGTGCACATGGATAATTTCGTGGCAGTTAAAAAAAAATGTTGTGGGCTCCGTGCTTATTCAACTGTCATGTTGAACTCCCATGTGACTAAATAGCCATTTGCGGTGTTTGGGAGTTATCCATACTTCTCCAGCTCAGTCAGGATGAAGTTGGTGAAGGTGGCAGTGAACATGTGGGGGCATATAAGCACAGTTCAATAGATGTTTCTGCACTGCCCCTCTGCTGTCCACAATGTCACCACACAGCCCACGAGGCCTCTTACGCATGGGGGCCGTCCGTCCAGGCACTCTATCCAAGCTCAATCGCTGCTTAGCTTCTGAAATCTGATGAGATCGGGTGCATTGTACGCGTGTACTTGAACAATATACATGGTGCCCAAGGGTGCGTAAAGCATCAGGACTCATCAATGTGTAAAATAAAGTTTATTCATCCTCATGTTGAAAAATAAAGGCATGCCTAAATACTGTACAGTGTTTATAAACCGCTGAAACATTTATTGTTTTATATTCCTGGAGGGAATTGGTTTAGCAAATCGGTAACCCCACTCCCTCATGTGATATTTACGTGAAGCCATTCAAATGAACGTCGTCTTGATTACAATATATTAATGTTAATAGTGTATACTCACTGCACTTGGAGCACAATTCATCATGAAAGTAATCTAAGCTTTAAAAAATATACAGTGACTGAACATTCAGCTTTTTATGTAGGGGGTTTAAATAATAAAAGTAATAACATACATTTCTCGTGTTTGTACAGCCCTACTTTGGCAAGTGTAGTGTACACAGGTGTGTAATAGACTACACCTGTTGAATCTTATTACATTGAAGATGCAATATTAAAGGGAAATCAGCATAATACAACTCTCATTTGATGTTACGCAACAATTGATTGAATTTTGAAATTTTAATACGATTAAAGTAACGGATGGTCACTTGAGTCGATCCACTGACGTATTAATCCTCAAAGCATGATCGTGAGAAACGGCAATGGCTTGGGACGCCTTCATCCAGCAGTGGATCGATCGTGGCCGATGATGAATCCTGTAAATGACTATCCTCCCACGTGCAACAAACTGGGATTGCTGGGATTTAAATGCAAGAATGTAACGCTTGGCTTCGGCATCTCGTCTCTGAGCGTGACAGCATTGCAGGTTTTTTTTTTATTAAGTTGAACATATATGGCTAAAAGGATAATTGAGTGGCGGTAACATTACCATAATTTCAATTGGATTGCAGTGATTCGATTTGCCATGAGGTTTCACATAGTACACATTGTAGGCCGTGGGCAATATAAGCAAATGTAAAGTTAGCCACCTGCATCGTTGCATACACTTCGCAAATAAATTGGCGAAAACGGCTGTGGAGAATTTGTAAAGGGTTGTAAGACGGCTGTTAAAATGAAATCAAACAGCTGGCAATGGATATGCATTGCTGCTTTTGATGGTTAGTGGTCTCTGTAGGTACTAACCACTGCCAGACTGGGCCGAAATGACTCTTACGAATGCAAGTGTTGACAGCGCTCCTGGCAATGAACTCCACTAAACACACGCTAACCTTGTCAATAAATAATACTGTATGTCGCTAAGCTATCGCATATTCTAAGCCACCATCAATGATTCCTCTCAAACACCCCGTGTGTTATGGTGGTGGATGTGTGGCCGTCAGCCGACACAAATGGAGTGTACAGGCGGTGCAAAGTGCCACTGTGGGCCCACGCTGCCGAAAGGACCCAGACATCGGGCCACACAAATTTGACAGATTGCACCCAAATCCCATTCCCTTGGCGCGACGAAGTGCCCCTTGCCAACAGCGGTCTCTCTCGCGTGGGGGGCTAGGGGGGGGGGTGGTGCTTCACTCGGTGCACTCCGTGCAGCGCTGCAGGCCGTTCTCGTTACAGGATGTGCAGCGCAACGCCCTGGGACGCTCCCCGAAGTTTGTCCGCACTTGTGACACTTTGCTGCCGCGGCAAGCCAAGCACGGCACGAAGCGGTAGCCACCGCAGTGCGCGCACTTGCGTGCGACCGTGTTCCTCTGTGGGGAGGGGCGGGGGGGGTCAGAGAGACAATCGATGGACACGGATGAGAGGGAGTGTTGTGGATATTGGCAAAGCTGTCAACCCCTTATCAGTGCCTACGTTTTTACTAACAAATTCAGACCTTATTGGTCAAAATTTCAACGTTCATCCTACAAAGCCCCATCACAAGGGAGAAACACAAACAAATAAGACTTTATTTTTTAGCCTGAATTGAAACGGCTGTATCCCGTATGGACCTGAAGAATACGGGGTAAACCGTATGGGTTGACAGGTGTGTTTTGGGATGAAGTTTGGATTTACACTTTGGATATTGCATTCTCGGCCCACTCTCGTATTATCGGATTGGAATTTGACGTTTTTGATTACGTTTATTGCTAATTCACTACGTAATTTAAAAAATATATATAAATCATAAATTGCATTTTTTAAAAATACATAGAGATTCATCAGTGAAGCAATCATTTTAATTTACGAATTTGTATACGTTCTTAAATCATCAAAACGATGTCATTGGTATTTATTGTGAGAACTGCGCAGAAGTTATGCCACGGTGACATCACATTTTAGGATCATTCGAAGTTTCACGCACTGCCCAGATTTTTTAGATTTTTTTTTCAGATCAATCTGGATGGAAATGTGGAACACGTCTATAGTTGTGGAGGAGAAGGGATGGCGAAAGGGGAAAAGAAACGAGGTACTGTGCAGCAGGATCGTGCAGCAACAAATTGAGCAGACGCGTGGAAGAATGTGGCCGACGAGTTGGGTTGGGCGAAATGCCAAGAGGCTTTGGATGTTAGAAAGCAGAGTTATTGGCAGGAAATAGAAATTGTAGCAACTGAACAGGACACACAGAGTTGCGGTGAAACAAGACGAAGGCAGAGAATCAGGGACGTATACGAGCTATTTAAACTATTACAATTTTTACCAGATAAGATCCATTGAGCAATTTAGCTTTCTCAGATGCGACCCGGCCACAAATGATCGCTCAACTAAGTGGCTCATCATGTGTAAATTGACAGCAGCCAAATATATTCTAAACTCACGTTAATTCTAAATGTGGAGGGGAAAACCGGAGGACCCGGAGAAAAAAAAACACGCGACCACGCAGAGAACATGCAAACTCAAAATATACAGGCGGCGGTGTCGGGATCGAAGCCACGACCTTCTGAATACCAGGCGAGGAAGTTAACATTTATCCACCGTGGAACTGTGGTAATAAAATCCAGGCACTCAGGATCATTGTAGAAAGGACAATAAACAAGTGTGTCTTCAGTTTTATTCTCGTGCCCTCAGCTAACTTAGATTTCATCTTGCACTACTATTTAGAAATGAACCAAATTAGTCATTAAAATGTCGCCTGACTCAGTTGCTGGTATAACTGCCATGTATACAATATATGATAATAAATAAACGATATAACTGCATGGTGTCTGCAGCCTCGGGTGGAGCGGCCACTGCACAGCAGTTCAACCACGGTGCTGAACCCGGTGACTTGGAGTGGAGCCCACCGGCTAACATCGGTGGCGATTCATATCTGAATCGGTGGTCGTGCCTCCTTTACGAACCCACACTGACCAGTGTGGTGAAGTATGGTCAAACAATTCCCATATCCAACACGGTATGGGGAGGCCTTCATCCGGCAGCAGATTGACGAAAATAATTACATCAATGGGAGCACATATTTAAGAGAGCAATATTAAATGAACCATGTCAGTCTCCTGTATTCATTACACCCACGTCTTTGGTGTCGCTTTCTATTTAATGCCTTGCCGTTTCAACTGAATGTGTATTTGTTACACAGAAAAATCTCGTGTAGCCAGTTACCCAGCTAGTTAAGGTGGCAACGCCCTCGAAGCAATCACTAACAACAGCTATTGTTGGGGTGGTGAGGAGCCCAGCCAGCAGCCAGCCAGGAAACCTGAGGCATAGATGATTTTAATAGTAGTATGATAAAGTCGAAACAATACCCCAGGAACCACAACAAATACAGTTTTGCACATTCAATTCATAGTGCAATCGAGCTTTGAAATGACACTGCAATGCAAACACAAAACACATTTCCACAATGTCTGCACCACAAACTGAAACCTTAAAACCATGCCAACACGTTTGATGATTATACCAAACATCTGATAGCGATCCGTATTTGTAAACAGATCGCGTTAGGATCATGACCCATCGCTATCATACAGTTTTGTATCACATACGCTTTACCCTGGAACAAAAACATTTTTGGTATGTGTGCTGTAAAATGTGATCATTAATTTAAAATGTTCTTCCATATCTGGACCGTAATAATTTATCTTTTCCGTACATGCATCAGAGTAAAAAAGTAAATAAAAAAATCGCAGTGATAAGATGTTCAAACACCAAAGAGATACCTTTTGCAAGGCATAAAGTTTGCATTAACCACACCAGCATGTGTGCTTAATGCATACTCGTGGTTATCAGAGTATGTCTGCATGTTTTGCGACGCGTATGCGTGGTCAATGCAGACTTGATGCCTGTTTGGTGTTTGAATATCTTAACACTTAATGTTTCATTGCCATAACTGGTAAAAAAACCTAGTCTTCTTTTTCATCATCATCATTTTTGATACCGGCAAAAAAGGTCCCATAGAAATACACCTCATTTGATTCGTCGTCACTACAAATGAATCATGGTAGGGTGAACAATAATAGAGGCATTCCACGAGCGGAAATAATAAGCAGCATACTACTCTGACACGTAAAGCACAGGCGAGAGGCGACAACGAATTGAATTGAGCATGGCTGTAATCGTTACCTTAAATTGCCTTAAGAATGCCCGAAGCTCTCCTGATTCATTCATAGACATAAGTCTGTCGGCGCCCTGTGTGGAGGTGTACAAAAGACAGTGGGCTTCTCAGACACGCGGCCTCCCCGTCTTTGAAACTGCAAATTTGGGTCATAGAGATTACGAGTGCACATGGTTGATCAAATGTTTGGTATATTTTGTATCATTGTATTCGCTTATCGTCGACACGGCATTGCACGAGACATGCGTTACACGATGCACGGGCACAGGCAAGAAATCCGCGAGCGCTACCGACGACTCTTCATGTCTGTGAAGAGGCAATACAATCCATGTCAAATATTGTATGTACAGCATGCATTCCCATATGAATTGTGTATGTCAGCTAGTAATGGGTTCTGTTTTGTTGTGATGCAGAGGCATAATGTGTCTTATTAAATATGACCTGCGGCCAAAGGCGGCTTCATATATACTGTATTTCACGGTCAAATTTCATTTATTGCTTTCCAGATATTGAAACGTTATCTGCTAATGTGTGACAATGGAGCAGTCGTTATCACATGCACCATACACCTGGTGACCTGAACTAGCTTCCTGGCCATGGGCTAACATCGGTAACGAGTGATGTTTGAACCAGTCATGGGCCTCCAGCTTTCAACAACCTGCACTGACCAGCAGGGTGAAGTATGGTCATTTAACCAACCCATTGCCTCTACAGTGTGCGGATTCCTTTATGCGGAAGTAGACTCACAAAGCTTTGCGCCTAAAAATAATTAGATTTACTGGATGTTTGATTTTTAAAAGCCCTAACTGAAATGATTTGGTAAGTTGCTAAACTAATGTTGGTGTTTGGATGCTATTAGTGTGTTTAGAAGTACTAAATTACGTTTTATCACCGGAATGGTCAACCTTGGCTTCATAAAAACAAACTCAAGCAACCAAATTATATCACTCTGAATGAATTGAAGCTCAGTATGCTGATTGATGCCACTTAATTCCCCCATCCTGCTGCTCGCCTGCCCTACAAATGTCATTGAACCTGTGGGAGCAGTCAACCACAGTGGGTGCAACTCAGACCTCCTTGTTCCACCTTGCTAATGTGGCGAATAATTCATCGTTCAGCCCCGTAGGTGTTCACAACTGCGCGGCTACCGGTTCTCAGTTGTAGCTTGTCCCGCGCGCAGTTTGCCATGGGGACGGATGCGCCCCAGCCCATTGAGTGAAACGTCGGACATTGGACCAAACAAACACGCAGAACAACCCAAACCTTCCCCCCCCCCCCCAAAAAAAAAATAAAACCCCTATCGGAGAACCATTAACCCTTTTGCACCTGGCCGACAAAAAACGTGATGAAGAAATGCACAGACGCTGAACACGTCCTTACCCCGAAGTAGTCACCGTTGATGAATATCGCCGGCAACTCAAGGGGGGTGCCGTGTGCTTGCGGAGGTTCCCGGGACGGCGGCGCCAACTGCATCAGCTCGGTCCGGCACACGTCCTCCGGCTCCGGCGGACAGGGCCACCCCGACGCGCCGTCCGGCTGCGCCTCGTCGCCGGACCTCCGGCGTTGTTCGTGCCTGACGCTCGCACCGTTGGGGCGCTGGCGGTGGTCGGTCGGCGAAGGGGGGCAAGGGTGACGCGTGCGGAGGTCGCGCACGTACTCGGCGTGCAGCGCCACGTCGCGGTCCTCGAAGTGCACGTGGTGGGTGTGCAGGATGCGGCGCGCGTGCTCGCAGCGCTCGAACGTGGAGCGCACCACACGCACGCTCGTCGTGTAGACCACCAGCTTGCCGATCTCCAGCGGGCGAGGTGCCTGTGGGACGGACGGGCGGAGGAGATGCGCGCGGAACGAGGATCGGACAGATTCGATCATCGGCGTCGTCAGCGGCAGCAGCAGCAGCCTCTGAAATCCACCTTCCGTAATAATCTGTCTGGAGGTATCCGATGAGCTATGAAGCTTTCACATACGTGCAGTATGAGCGTGTGAGCAGGTCACAACAGCAAACGATGCAAACAACGATAGCGAGTGCAAAATAGAGAAAGTAGTAAGCGAGTCACGAAATAGAAAGACGTAAATCAATAATAAACGAATGTATGAAAAAAGTTCGATTTTGTGAAGATAATACACCACAGTTCCTCAATAAGGATATGTTATCCGTTGAATTCCGCAAGCCAGACTGCTAGCCAGGTGTGCTGCATGGTAAGAGTAGCAGGCTGCTCTTGACGATAATCATCATCAGCATCAGCCACGATCGATCTGCTTGCTGGATGAAAGCCTCGCCAAGCCATCACCGCCACGACCATCTCTTACGGGCATGCTGAGTAGATGGTTACCTTGCAGGATCGACGCAAGTGACCCATAGTTATTTTACTCGCATTAAAATTTGCCATGTGCATGACGTGTTGGCAACACGTGGCTTAAAATATAAGAGGTGTATATTGATGATGATCACATTTCTCTTCACTGTTACATCTACAATGGGGAAAAAGATTCAAGAGGCGTTGCTTAATGCGCAACTGCGTATACTACACTTCCCAAAGTAGGGCTGTACCAAAGCGAGTAATAAAATGCACTAACGTTACATGGAGCAAATAACAACGTTGACGTGAGAAGGTGACTGAGGCAAGGTGACCCACACCTTTTGGCAAAGTTATTCAGTTACTTTGACGGGATAATCAATTACAATATAAAATATGAATATCTGCTATAGTACAATTAAGTGAAAGTTTCAATTGTAAAAGCATCAATTAGAAATTACTTTATCCAGGAAAGACTTCCACAGTTTGTTTCCAGAAGGGGCCTGCTATGTTTGATGTTGGGGCCAATCTAATTTCCGCGTGTCAGTCATGATTGAATACATTTATAAACTTCTAATAAAAACCACCACTTCCGATTATGATTGCACAAAACTATTATATTGATTTCACTCAACCTCATTGTTCAAGGCAGGGAGGCAGGGAGGTTGTGCGTGACCGTATCCCCAGCGATGACGAGGGGTACATCGGATGTGGTGTATGCCGAGTACTGAAACATTTTCCAAAGTTCAGCGTTGGACAATTCCGGCTGAATGTAAGCCCTGATCATCATCAATCAATCAATGGTCGTCATCATCGTCGTTAATCAATGATCATCATCAATCAAGCAATGATCATCATAATCAATCAATGACCATCAAACTCATCAATCAATGATTCATCATTGTCGTCATCATCATCAATCAATGATCATCATCGTCATCATCATCAACAAATCAATGATCATCATCAATAAATTAATGATAATCATCATCGTCGTCATCAATCAATGATGATCATCGTCATCATCATCAATCAATGATCATCATCAATCAATGATCATCATGGTCATCATCATGAACCAATCAATGATCATCATCAATCAATCAATGATCATAAACCATGACCATTGATATTCCTTTTGGCATCACCCCCTCTGTGCTCGACGCAATTCCCTCGTCCGCGCCTCACACGCCATGCGCTGCTGCTGCTTCTGTGCTGCTGCTGCTGCTTCTGTGCTGCTGCTGCTTCTGTGCTGCTGCTGCTGCTTCTGTGCTGCTGCTGCTGCTGCTTCTGTGCTGCTGCTGCTGCTTCTGTGCTGCTGCTGCTGCTTCTGTGCTGCTGCTGCTTCTGTGTTGCTGCTGCTGCTTCTGTGCTGCTGCTGCTGCTTCTGTGCTGCTGCTGCTTCTGCTGCTTCTGTGCTGCTGCTGCTTCTGTGCTGCTGCTGCTTTTGTGCTGCTGCTTCTGTGCTGCTGCTGTGCTTCTATGCTGCTGCTGCTTCTGTGCTGCTGCTACTGCTGCTGTGCTTCTGTGCTGCTGCTGCTTCTGTTCTGCTGCTGCTTCTGTGCTTCTGCTGCTTCTCTTCTGCTGCTGCTGCTTCTGTGCTGCTGCTGCTTCTGTGCTGCTGTACTGTTGCTGCTTCTGTGCTGCTGTACTGCTGCTGCTTATGTGCTGCTGTACTGCTGCTGCTTCTGCTGCTGCCCTGCTGTGCTGCTGCTGCTGCTGCTACTGCTGCTTCTGTGCTGCTGCTGTGCGTCTCGCTTACAGAGGGCCGCGTGTCCGCCAAGCCGCCGAAGTGCGCCTGAGCCGCCGACACCTTGTGGCGCACGCCACGCACGGTGCCGTTCTTGCTCAGGATGTCGGAGCGACGAAAGCACGGCGTGCTCCGAGCCAAGCTGCTCAGGATGAGGTCTGCCTCGTCGCCGGGCTCCTGATGCTGCTGCTGATGCTGCTGTTCGCTGTTGGGGAGGCAGTCCTGGTACCCGCCAGGCACCGGCTCTGGGGATGTATTCGGTGATCCGCTCTCTTCAATATCTCTGGCAGCGGCGTGGTGATGCTCCAACTTGCCATTTCTTTCCTCGTACACCTGACCAAACATCGGTTTCACAAGCGGTCTGTTAACTTCCACCCCTCCTCCTCCTCCCCCAAAACTAATCACACAGAGGTCACAAGTTTATCAAATAAAAAAAATGCCGACAGTGAAAGTAGGGGTTTATTGGCACTATTCAGAAGCCACCGATGGATTTTAACCCGTGGTTTACGCATGTATGTTGAACTTCTTTCGCACCATACGTAGCCAACTGTGCTAATCGGAGGTGCGGGGAAGGACAACAAACTAAACACAAAGAGCAGTTGTAAAGAATTGAGTCTAGATTTAAAGGCGCATAGCTCCAGTGGTTTCCTAATATCGGAAGAAAGAGCGTTCCAGACGGCCGCAGAAGCGCATCTGTAAGCGCGCGATACAGTGACCGTCGTCTTTGTTCGATGGCTCAGCCAAAAGCCGCTGCGAGGATGACCGGAGTGCTCGTGATGGTTTATGCTCCTTGCCGAGATGAGCGAGGGTGGCGTGGTTTATTTGTGGCAAGTGCTGAGTTGTTCGTGCAGCCTCAACACAGGGCAACACCGCCGTGGATGCAACGGTGGAAACTGTCGACTCTTAATTAAAAACGAGATAACCTACACCAAACCACTGCTCTCCCCGCCTTGCCGAGACCATTGACGGAGGACAGACCCGCGGTGCCCTTAATGCGGCAATTTCACACGCATTGGGGTCCTTGCTGTTTTTAAATGAATCGCGGTGTGTGTCTGTGTGTGGCTGTAGCCCATGCAGGGCAATGTTTTTTGTTCTCTGTGAGCACACATTCAGGAGCGTCTGTGCACACACATGCACACAAAGCTTCAGTCACGGTAATTTATGTGTGTGCGTGTTTTAAATTGTATTCTTATTACGCATATATGCAACGACACCGTATGTCTATACAAACGTATTCAGTACTAGATTTGGAAATAACTTCAAAAGCCAAGCTGTTGAAATACATATGGATTACCTGTTCTGAATAATGTTCACCTTTTAAGCAAGATTGACCTCCTTACAAAATGTTAACATTTTGACTCTTTCCAAATAATGTTCTAATTTAGCTAAGCGCTCAATGGATCTGTATTAGAATGTATAATGTGTATATGGAGGAAAGCAGTGGTTAGCGAAATGTGATATGAACCCAGCGACCTGAGTTAGATTCCAGGCCACGGCAAACATCAGCAGCATGTGATGTCTGAACAAGTTCTGGGACTTTCTTCCCACCATTCACCACGAAACCCACACTGACCAGCGCGGTGAAGTATGTTCACGCAACACCCATGCTCGCCCAGCCCACGGGGGGAGCCTTTCATCGAAGCATCACGGATTGACAAAGAGCTTTAACATTTCTCTTTTTTTTCACAATCACACAAAACACATCCACACGGACAGCCTCACCTGTTGGAGCACTCGCCCGCTGTGGGATGAGGAGACGCGAAATCTCACGCGCCCGGTTGCCTGTCCCACCTGTGCCGACTTCTCGCCCATGGCCGCACGCGGAGAGAGGCAAAAGGCAGGCAATTGGGCAAACTACGAAGGAGGTGGAATCGTTTGCCGCCGACCGTAGACTTTAATGCCGACGATAGGTCGTTCTTTTGTCAAAAGACCCCGTTGGCTTCGGTTACGCCAACTCTATGTAGGAGCGGGGGGGGGGGGATACCTGAGACGCGCGGTGCCCGTGTCAATAATGCATGTGCGTGTCAGCACGACAGGGAAGGGCATTTCTATCGACGACACGCGCACACACACGTAACTGGCCGCCCCCACTTATTACATATGCATGTAAGTTTATTTTACCCCTCCACCACCGCCAAAGCAGCGTCGCCCCCCCCGCCCCCCACGTGAATTTAAAACAAATGTTTCCTGGATCTCTATATATAGACCGCGCACATCGAGGTGGCAAGTGCAAGGTGCAGTGATTGCATTATTGCTCCAACCGCCAGGGCAATAAACTGTGTGGCCTTTAGACCCGCGTTGTAATAAATTACTTTTTTGTTTGGGATAAATTTGCTCACGTTGAATTCTCGCTCAGTCATGACGCATTTTGAAAGGGCGCCACCTTTATGATAAAGATTGTTTCTTTTACTTTAATTTGGATTGATTTGTGGTGATTCTGATCTACGACAAAAATGCAGTAGCATTTTTATTGGCTGAGCTAAATACCTGGTTTATTAGCGCCAATGTTTACAACATGCTATTTGACAGGTCGCCGGGTGACTCAAAAATCAGAACACTCAAATGACATTTGCTTATATCCTGGGTTTGAATACAGGCAAGTCACCAATGACCTCATCACTCACGCTAAATTTGATTCTGCACTTAATACGGCTAATTGCCAGCTCTGAGCATAAAAAAAGCCATCGGTTTGACTGCCATTCAATGAGTATTAATCTCACGTGACAGTGCGAGTGAGAATGTTTTGCTCTTTACTTTGTGGACCAGGTCGCTTGAAGGTATTTCAGAGGTGGCTCTGTGATATCTGCTTCTGTGGGCCATTCTCCAGCACGAAGGGTTTTTTGTATCTTGCCGTGACGCATATGGCACAATTGGGATGGTATAGGGGGAAATTTTCTTATTATTTTTGCTGTACACAAGAACAAAGGTCCGCTGCAGAACGTTGGGTGACGATAAAACAACCGCACGCGAATATCCGCCAGGCCCCAACTACCCGGTTGATGGGTGGGGGGGGGGGAGAACCATGATCTCATTTTCATGGGAAAATCGCAAGTCCACAGTGTTCTTTCTATGGCTACACAAGTCGGTTTTTACCGTGACAATCCTATCGAGTGTATTCTCTCACTCGGCAGCCATTCTGTCAGCAATCTTGTTCAACCGTCTTCCGTAGTTCGTTCCAATATCTGTAGTGGCATCGGTCTTGATCAAAAGCGCTCTATAAATATAAAATAAAATACGATCCATATTTCGATTTAAAGCTTTCGTGACTGCAGGGATTCATCTTCTTGGTTCTTTCGGTAAAGTCACGTAGAATGGAAATAATAAAATAATAAAAATAAAACATAATCAAATAATTCTCACGACGTGAGACTCTGTCTTCTCGACAGACCTGTTCTCCACCTGAGGACGGCTGCTTGCGTTGTGGCCGAAACGTCGTGAGAATTATTTAATTATGTTTTATTTTTATTATTTCCATCTACGTGACTTTACCGAAAGAACCAAGAAGATACGATCCATAGTTTATATCAATATACTTGGCACCCTGGGTTACCTGTTGCAAAGTCTTCCAGCCCTCTTCGCCTAAGGCAGAGGAAAATACAGCTTACAGTTAACGCTCAATCATCCTTGGGCAGCATTATCCGGTATGAATATTCACCGTGCTTGTAGAATAATAAACTACAGTATCTCTCCGTATGATCTGGGCTCTTATTAGCTGAGTCCCACCCACTGTGGGTGAGGTGTGACTCGGAGCCTAGGTGTCTGTAAACGTCCCCAAATAACCGGATGACTGTACGCGAACAAATGACACACCCTACACCTTTAACCCTCTTTTATAAGTAGATAAACTGTAACGGTTGTCTTGCATAATTGACATGCTTTGCATGCTCCGTTGTGTTCCAGGTCATCCCTCGTCTCCGTTACAACCTGATCATTGAGAGTTGGCACTTAATACACAAATGTGTCCCCATCCATCCAGCTTCAAGTTCAGTTTGAGTCACCCAGAGGCTTGACTTATGGCCACGATAAAAAAAAAGTTAAAGACAATACGCAATTGCTCATTCAAACATAAACACAGCATACACCAACACTTGCCATTTAAGGAGGGGAAATAAAGGCGAATTAACTTGTAACGCGCACAGGACTTGTTCACGCTCGCAGAGAAAAATAACGACTCGGAGGATTAAGGGGCCGACCATAAATGACGTCACGCACCTGGGGGGGGTCAGACATTTGTGACAATGTGGGGAGGGGGTTTGAGAAATGTGACGTCACTTCAAAATGCGCAACTTTAAATAAATATAGACAACACGTTCTACTTAATTAAATAGACGTTTTAAGAAATGTTTTCTCCTACAACATCAGACTGCAGCGCCACATTAAATACGCACTACAATGACAATAGTTTAAATTGATTTGAGCATTTTTATTTTTTTTGGAGGGGGGGGGGGGCAGAGCTTTGTGACGTCATATTTAAGGGGGGGGGGTCTGACTTTTTGTGACGCCGCGTGACGAAGGAGGGGGGGTGTAAAAAATCGTCCAAAATCTCGTGACGTCATTTATGGACAGCCCCTAAGGAACCACAGACAAGCAGGAAGGCAGCTACGTGGTGAACCGGCGCCAACAATTGCCCAAGCGCTCGCTGAAGCCTTCAGGGAAGTCGTGTACTCTACACGCAACTGCGCACAATTCTGAGTCACTTATAACCGCTTTGCCGTTACTTATTGCCAATTATGTTCTATCGTCTCATAGAGTCCCTGGAAAATGCCGATTTATTACTAATAATCCCAAATGATTCGATCGAAATTAGGAATTTCGATCGGATCCATCACATTCAGTTTATTACTACTATAATGAGCCAATAATGTCTGTGTGTAACGCGCGTGACGTCACTCCACATTCCGCACCCCCCATCATTAATATTCATGAGTGGGTGGATTTTTACACACGCAAATTCGCTTTAAGTTTGACGTTTTTTTATTGAAAGTGAATCTAATAAATAATTATACGCAGCAACAAAGTGGATTTGGTGTCTTTATTTCTTCAGCACTTGAGACGAAAGGAAAGTCTAATTTATGCTTCTACATTATGGTCAAATAGACATTTCTTGGTGATTTTCCAGATATTTGATCAAATTCCAATTTATTTCAACCCCAGCGACCGAAAGCAGAAGAAAATAAAGTATCAGAGCAGCGAATTTGAACAAATTGAAGGTCAGTTATATACAGTGCTAACAGTGACATAAAGCGAGGTGTTTTATGGCATAGCTTTGTGCAAGAATCACTGCCATTAATACAGTGCTACAGTGAAATGCAGTGAAGTGTTTGATGACATACTTTGTGCAAGATTCACTGCCATTAAATTTACACAAGATACAATTATACTGTGCTATTTTTTTTCCGTAAAAATGACTGCTTCCGTCTTAGGATGGGCAAACAGTTTAGTTTCAACATAAAACCTATTCACTGTGTCCAATAAACGAATGTTTTTTAAACAACATGGTTTACAGTAATGTATAAAAGGTCCGAAACATATGTATCCCATTCGCAAGATACGTTTTTGTTCAAGATGTGTGAAATGTTGATTGGGTTTTCCAAAAGACTTGTATATGCAAATAAATGGCACTTAAACGCTGGCAAAAAAACACGTGTCCCTCGGTAAACCCGGTAAAAGTCACGTGTTGCGAGTTTGGATTTCCACCTTTCAGATGTTTCACCTTCAAAGGATTCGTAGTGCTGGCGACAAAAGCTGTTTTCCGTCTACCGTAGTTTGGGCGATTATTACAAGTGGTTTCATTGACGTCTCGCTTTATGCGTAACAGTCGGGTTGTAAACCAATAACAAGGGAGCCATTCAGTAGGGGGAATGGCTCCGTCGAGCTAAGGATTGACTCCGGGACCCTTCATCCTGACCCGGGTCGATTAAATGAAAACCGCCTTATGGAGAAAGTCAGCAATGCATGTCTTATGGATAGACTTGCTCGGCCATATGAATGTGGAATTTCCACCACTGGATCAGGTCTGCAGTCGGGAGATGAGTACTGGCCTTTGATGTCCATTTGAGAAATAAATGGCTGAATTTGTCTCTTTAAAAGAATGCTGCATAGACTGAATATCGTCGGCATACCAACCGTATGCCGACGTTGCCATACGGTTGGAATTACTGGACCAATGCTGGACCAATGCTGGCCCAATATTGGCCCCAACGGTGGCCCAATGTTGGTTCAACATTGGCCAAACCTCCCACGCTTATTTGGACACAAAGCCACGCAACAATGAGCCGAATGGGGGCACGGCTTCGTGACAGCGTCCCCTTGTGGCTGATCCCTCGCGTTGACTGCCAACCCAGGGCTCGCGTTCACATCACATCACAGGGGCCAATTTGTGCCAAACTGCGCATCTACACGACAGGGCACCGACCGCAGGAAGAGGCTCCGCTGACAAAGCCTCGGCGTCTCCCCGAGGCTTCGAGGGTGCCCGTGACGATCTCCTCCCGGCATCTCGTCTGTCCCGTCGTCGTCGTCATCGCCGCCGCCGTCTCTCATCCCTCGCCCTTGCCGTCTTCCGCCAGGACTGGCGGCCCTTCTTCCTCCTTCTCCTCCCTCGGCGTTGTCCCCTGCGGCGGCAGGGACGGCGAGGAACGTCGAGGGGACGTCGCGATGCCGAGCCGCAGAGGAGGGCCCGGCGCTGACTCGGCCGGGGCGAGATCGACTGCCGGTGAGATGGGGCGGTGGGGTCGGGGGGGATTGGTGCTGAGAGTGAGTGGGTGAGTGGTGAGTGACGGGGGTGGTGAGTGATGGGGGTGGTGAGTGTGGGTGGGTGATGGAGATGGTGAGTGGTGAGTGATGGGGGTGGTGAGTGATGGGTGAGTGATGGGTGAGTGGTGGGGATGGTGAGTGACGGGGGTGGTGAGTGATGGGGGTGGTGAGTGTGGGTGGGTGATGGAGATGGTGAGTGGTGAGTGATGGGGGTGGTGAGTGATGGGTGAGTGATGGGTGAGTGGTGGGGATGGTGAGTGGTGAGTGATGGGGGTGGTGAGTGATGGGGGTGGTGAGTGATGGGGATGGTGAGTGTGGTGAGTGATGGGGGTGGTGAGTGTGGGTGAGTGGTGGGGATGGTGAGTGGTGAGTGATGGGGGTGGTGAGTGATGGGGGTGGTGAGTGATGGGGGTGGTGAGTGATGGGGATGGTGAGTGTGGTGAGTGATGGGGGTGGTGAGTGTGGGTGAGTGGTGGGGATGGTGAGTGGTGAGTGACAGGGGTGGTGGAGTGACGGGGGTGGTGAGTGTGGGTGGTGATGGAGATGGTGAGTGGTGAGTGATGGGGGTGGTGAGTGATGGGGGTGGTGAGTGATGGGTGAGTGGTGGGGATGGTGAGTGGTGAGTGATGGGGGTGGTGAGTGATGGGGGTGGTGAGTGATGGGGGTGGGAGTGATGGGGATGGTGAGTGGTGGTGAGTGATGGGGGTGGTGAGTGTGGGTGAGTGGTGGGGATGGTGAGTGGTGAGTGATGGGGGTGGTGAGTGATGGGGGTGGTGAGTGTGGGTGAGTGGTGGGGATGGTGAGTGATGGGGGTGGTGAGTGTGGGTGAGTGGTGGGGATGGTGAGTGGTGAGTGATGGGGTGGTGAGTGATGGGGGGTGGTGAGTGATGGGGGTGGTGAGTGTGGGTGGGTGATGGAGATGGTGAGTGGTGAGTGATGGGGGTGGTGAGTGGGGGTGGTGAGTGTGGGTGGCTGATGGGGATGGTGAGTGGTGAGTGATGGGGGTGGTGAGTGTGGGTGAGTGGTGGGGATGGTGAGTGATGAGTGACGGGGGTGGTGAGTGATGGGGGTGGTGAGTGTGGGTGAGTGGTGGGGATGGTGAGTGGTGAGTGATGGGGGTGGTGAGTGATGGGGGTGGTGAGTGATGACGGTGGTGAATGTGGTGAGTGATGGGGATGGTGAGTGTGGTGAGTGATGGGGGTGGTGAGTGTGGGTGAGTGGTGGGGATGGTGAGTGATGAGTGACGGGGTGGTGAGTGATGGGGGTGGTGAGTGTGGGTGAGTGGTGGGGATGGTGAGTGATGGGGGTGGTGAGTGTGGGTGAGTGGTGGGGATGGTGAGTGGTGAGTGATGGGGGTGGTGAGTGATGGGGGTGGTGAGTGTGGGTGGGTGATGGAGATGGTGAGTGGTGAGTGATGGGGGGGGTGAGTGGGGGTGGTGAGTGTGGGTGGCTGATGGGGATGGTGAGTGGTGAGTGATGGGGGTGGTGAGTGATGGGGGTGGTGAGTGATGGGGGTGGTGAGTGTGGTGAGTGATGGGGGTGGTGAGTGATGGGGGTGGTGAGTGTGGGTGAGTGGTGGGGATGGTGAGTGGTGATTGATGGGGGTGGTGAGTGGGGGTGGTGAGTGTGGGTGGCTGATAGGGATGGTGAGTGTGGTGAGTGATGGGGGTGGTGAGTGATGGGGGTGGTGAGTGATGGGGGTGGTGAGTGATGGGGGTGGTGAATGTGGTGAGTGATGGGGGTGGTGAGTGATGGGGGTGGTGAGTGATGGGGGTGGTGAGTGATGGGGATGGTGAGTGTGGTGAGTGATGGGGGTGGTGAGTGTGGGTGAGTGGTGGGGATGGTGAGTGGTGAGTGACAGGGGTGGTGAGTGATGGGGGGTGGTGAGTGTGGGTGGGTGATGGAGATGGTGAGTGGTGAGTGATGGGGGTGGTGAGTGATGGGGGTGGTGAGTGATGGGTGAGTGGTGAGGATGGTGAGTGGTGAGTGATGGGGGTGGTGAGTGATGGGGGTGGTGAGTGATGGGGATGGTGAGTGTGGTGAGTGATGGGGGTGGTGAGTGTGGGTGAGTGGTGGGGATGGTGAGTGGTGAGTGATGGGGGTGGTGAGTGATGGGGGTGGTGAGTGTGGGTGAGTGGTGGGGATGGTGAGTGATGGGGGTGGTGAGTGTGGGTGAGTGGTGGGGATGGTGAGTGGTGAGTGATGGGGGTGGTGAGTGATGGGGGTGGTGAGTGATGGGGGTGGTGAGTGTGGGTGGGTGATGGAGATGGTGAGTGGTGAGTGATGGGGGTGGTGAGTGGGGGTGGTGAGTGTGGGTGGCTGATGGGGATGGTGAGTGGTGAGTGATGGGGGTGGTGAGTGTGGGTGAGTGGTGGGGATGGTGAGTGATGAGTGACGGGGGTGGTGAGTGATGGGGGTGGTGAGTGTGGGTGAGTGGTGGGGATGGTGAGTGATGGGGGTGGTGAGTGTGGGTGAGTGGTGGGGATGGTGAGTGGTGAGTGATGGGGGTGGTGAGTGATGGGGGTGGTGAGTGATGACGGTGGTGAATGTGGTGAGTGATGGGGATGGTGAGTGTGGTGAGTGATGGGGGTGGTGAGTGTGGGTGAGTGGTGGGGATGGTGAGTGATGAGTGACGGGGGTGGTGAGTGATGGGGGTGGTGAGTGTGGGTGAGTGGTGGGGATGGTGAGTGATGGGGGTGGTGAGTGTGGGTGAGTGGTGGGGATGGTGAGTGGTGAGTGATGGGGGTGGTGAGTGATGGGGGTGGTGAGTGTGGGTGGGTGATGGAGATGGTGAGTGGTGAGTGATGGGGGTGGTGAGTGGGGGTGGTGAGTGTGGGTGGCTGATGGGGATGGTGAGTGGTGAGTGATGGGGGTGGTGAGTGATGGGGGTGGTGAGTGATGGGGGTGGTGAGTGTGGTGAGTGATGGGGGTGGTGAGTGATGGGGGTGGTGAGTGTGGGTGAGTGGTGGGGATGGTGAGTGGTGAGTGATGGGGGTGGTGAGTGGGGGTGGTGAGTGTGGGTGGCTGATGGGGATGGTGAGTGTGGTGAGTGATGGGGGTGGTGAGTGATGGGGGTGGTGAGTGATGGGGGTGGTGAATGTGGTGAGTGATGGGGGTGGTGAGTGATGGAGATGGTGAGTGATGGGGGTGGTGAGTGTGGGTGGGTGATGGAGATGGTGAGTGGTGAGTGATGGGGGTGGTGAGTGGGGGTGGTGAGTGTGGGTGGCTGATGGGGATGGTGAGTGGTGAGTGATGGGGGTGGTGAGTGTGGGTGAGTGGTGGGGATGGTGAGTGATGGGGGTGGTGAGTGTGGGTGAGTGGTGGGGATGGTGAGTGGTGAGTGATGGGGGTGGTGAGTGATGGGGGTGGTGAGTGATGGGGGTGGTGAGTGTGGGTGGGTGATGGAGATGGTGAGTGGTGAGTGATGGGGGTGGTGAGTGGGGGTGGTGAGTGTGGGTGGCTGATGGGGATGGTGAGTGGTGAGTGATGGGGGTGGTGAGTGTGGGTGAGTGGTGGGGATGGTGAGTGATGAGTGACGGGGGTGGTGAGTGATGGGGGTGGTGAGTGTGGGTGAGTGGTGGGGATGGTGAGTGATGGGGGTGGTGAGTGTGGGTGAGTGGTGGGGATGGTGAGTGGTGAGTGATGGGGGTGGTGAGTGATGGGGGTGGTGAGTGATGACGGTGGTGAATGTGGTGAGTGATGGGGATGGTGAGTGTGGTGAGTGATGGGGGTGGTGAGTGTGGGTGAGTGGTGGGGATGGTGAGTGATGAGTGACGGGGGTGGTGAGTGATGGGGGTGGTGAGTGTGGGTGAGTGGTGGGGATGGTGAGTGATGGGGGTGGTGAGTGTGGGTGAGTGGTGGGGATGGTGAGTGGTGAGTGATGGGGGTGGTGAGTGATGGGGGTGGTGAGTGATGGGGGTGGTGAGTGTGGGTGGGTGATGGAGATGGTGAGTGGTGAGTGATGGGGGTGGTGAGTGGGGGTGGTGAGTGTGGGTGGCTGATGGGGATGGTGAGTGGTGAGTGATGGGGGTGGTGAGTGATGGGGGTGGTGAGTGATGGGGGTGGTGAGTGTGGTGAGTGATGGGGGTGGTGAGTGATGGGGGTGGTGAGTGTGGGTGAGTCTTGGGGATGGTGAGTGGTGAGTGATGGGGGTGGTGAGTGGGGGTGGTGAGTGTGGGTGGCTGATGGGGATGGTGAGTGTGGTGAGTGATGGGGGTGGTGAGTGTTGGGGGTGGTGAGTGATGGGGGTGGTGAATGTGGTGAGTGATGGGGGTGGTGAGTGATGGAGATGGTGAGTGATGGGGGTGGTGAGTGATGGGGGTGGTGGTGATGGGGGTGTGAGTGACGGGGGGTGGTGAGTGATGGGGGTGGTGAGTGTGGGTGAGTCTTGGGGATGGTGAGTGGTGAGTGATGGGGGAGGAGCGTGATGGGGGTGGTGAGCGTGTGTGAGTCTTGGGGATGGTGAGTGGTGAGTGATGGGGGTGGTGAGTGGGGGTGGTGAGTGTGGGTGGCTGATGGGGATGGTGAGTGTGGTGAGTGATGGGGGTGGTGAGTGATGGGGGTGGTGAGTGATGGGGGTGGTGAATGTGGTGAGTGATGGGGGTGGTGAGTGATGGAGATGGTGAGTGATGGGGGTGGTGAGTGTGGGTGGGTGATGGGGATGGTGAGTGTGGTGAGTGATGGGGGTGGTGAGTGATGGAGATGGTGAGTGATGAGGGTGGTGAGTGTGGGTGGGTGATGGGGATGGTGAGTGTGGTGAGTGATGGGGGTGGTGAGTGATGGAGATGGTGAGTGATGAGGGTGGTGAGTGTGGGTGGGTGATGGGGATGGTGAGTGTGGTGAGTGATGGGGGTGGTGGTGATGGGGGTGGTGGTGATGGGGGTGTGAGTGACGGGGGGTGGTGAGTGATGGGGGTGGTGAGTGATGGGGGTGGTGAGTGATGGGGGTGGTGGTGATGGG